GTTTTTGGGTTTCGAAGTATGGTACGCTGAAAGCATACAGCTATGAGCATATGCTTATTGGGATTGCATATCTATTAGACAGAAAACGTATCTACAGAACAGAATATGAACCAGTCGCCGAGAGGAGTGCGGTTATTTATGTATTTATTAATTGATATAACATGGGATTTATATATTTATCCAAGAGGAGAAGAAAGCCGAAAAGAAAGCCTAAATATATGGCGAACCACGGCCTCTCTCAATCATAGCTCTGTGCTCCATATGAATCACATGGCTCTGCGAGCTATTCGTTTACTTATTAAAAATACTGATTTTAACTATAAATTACTCTGGGATATCTTGCCATTGAAAACAAAAGCCAGAAATTGGAAGAATAGCAGAGAATGAAATGTGTGTATTATGTAATGGAGAATCTGAGTTTGTTTCACATATTTTCATGTATTGTAAATTTACAAAAAATATTTATGAAAATTTTGTTTTAGATATATTAAAATTGATTAGAATACATTTTGTTATCAATATGATTCTTGCATATTATTTAATTTTAACGATCCTTTATATAGTCATATAGATACTGTTGATTTGGATGCAATTATACTTTTGTTATCAATAGTGAGATATAAAATTTTGACCATGAGAAATTCTATTATATTCGAAAATAAAACACCACATTTTGCCTTTCTCAAAAAGCAGATAAAAATGGCCCTAATGTGTAGAAAAATATAGAGAATTATAGAATAAACAACCCATTTGAGAGGGAATTGAAAAATATATGTAAAGCATTATTTTAAAAAGAAAATTATATGTTTATGATATGTATTTTATATTTACTAATTTTATTTTTATTGTTTTATATCAATGCATTTATTAAAATAACCTAATTATGTTATGGATTACTACTGGAATTGAACAAAATAAATACCGGATCATGGATGCAAAATGGAATATGAACTTATTTATATTATATATATTATTTTATATTTACCGTAATTAAAATCACTCATTGAGTGAACGAATGAGCATACTGTAATGCTTATTGGGAATACATACCATCTATTAGGCAGAAAACTTATCTACAGAACAGAATATGAACCAGCCAAGTGGGAACCTGGGATATTGTATTCATTGATATAGATAGAGATAGTTTATTTTGAAAAGTCCACAATCTGACAATACAAACAAATAAAAAATGGAGAGTTCTGGAGAGCGAGCAAAACCTTTAAAAAAGTTCAAAACACGATGAGGATCATGTACCTGCTGTGTTATAGCAAGTAGTAATGTGTAATGAATTTAATTCACTGTGGTAAATGAATTGCTATCTTTTTATTTGTTATGAGCACACTTGCTGGAACTCCATAATCTATTATTTTATTTTTTAGTAACACCTTTTATAAAAATATCAAATTGTTTATCATACTTGCATCCATATTTCGCCCTAAATTCCATTCTATGACACTTTCTCTGTATCCAAATATATATGTACATGACCACATTATTTATTTTTTAGTAATACTTCATTTAAAGTATCATAATGTTTATTATAATTGCTATTCTAGTATTTTATCAGTTTTTTCCCTTAAATTTCATTCTATGATACTTGCTCTGTATCCAAATATCTATATGTATATGAGCACTTTATTTATTTTTTAGTACCGGTAAAACTTATTTAAAAATAACCAATTGTGTATCATTGCTATTTCAGTATATTATCAATATTTCGCCTTAAAATTCATTCTATGTTACGTGCTCTGTAGCCGAATATAGATATGTACATGAGCACTTTATTTCATATATATATCTGCTGGAGAAGGGTCAAATCCTGATCATGTATTATTGTGTGTTACTATCCTCCTAATCACTTGCCAGTCATAATCAAGTATTATAATTTGATGTGTTCAAATTATAGTGTATAAAGAAATCTACTCATGATTTCATTACTATTATCAAATGTTTATAATTAAAGTGCTATAATAATAGAATTTTCCCCATCTTTGCTTATAAAAAATCCATGTCCTATAACATTCATTTTTAGTAGACAAATTTTATGCAATACATGTCAACTTATCAGCTGAATAAATGATGATCTTAGGACAAAACATGATTATTTAGTACTTTCCAAATCAAAAATTCTTGTGAATAATGTATATAGTGAATAAGGTATATGAGAGGTATTGAAGAATTTAACACCAAACCTGTTAAATGACCCGAAATGTTGTAACGTTGTCTCCCAGTCAAACACCTGAGCATCTGTTTTTTTTTATTATAATTTATATATGTTCATGGTTTGACGAACGAAATAAACTCTCCCTCTCTATTAGTTTAAAATACTGACTTCTGGACTTGGCTAATTTTATGCATATCAAAACTTGTCATTTATTTTGTTCCATCCATGTATTTCCAATAAAACATACTTACGTCTTACTACTGTTATTTGTATCTTATTATTGTTGGCTAATTATTTTTGAGGTGCGGCGCAAGACTTCACAATTCTAAAAAGGGGGTGCGGCTTGAAAAGTTTGGGAATGTTTGTATGTAGTAGACCCTAACCTGGTACACATGGTTTCGGTGTCTACCAACTGGGTTTACATACTTCAAGAGTACCTTTTTGTATTACAGTTGTGAAACAGAAAAAGCTGAATGTCGGTCTTATTCCATCTGTAAAGTTACCAAAAACTTCACAAAGAATGAACAATGTGTATTATCGATGAAATGAAAAGTGACATATAAAAAATACAGAAGCTGTAGAAAATATTTTGCATTACAGAAAAATTAGTTCACATATTAAATATTTTACATTACAAAAAAAATGGTGCTCCAGAAGTATGTGTACCAATATAAAAGTAACTAATTTTGTTCGCCTACTTTATATCAAGTTGTGTAAATGGACTAAATTCTATCGGTAGGGGGATATTCACTTGTGTAACACAGACAATTCCCGAACTTTTAATAGAACAAAAATAAGGAGAATCGTAACCTAACCTGGTACACATACTACGAGTACCGAAAAAACAGCCCACATAGTAAAAGCAGTTATGGAAATACTTTACATTACAGAAAAATCAATTCACATAGTAAATAGCAGACGAAGGAGATATTTTGCATTGCAGAAAAAATAGCTCACATAGTTAATAGCAGTCATGAAATATTTCTCACTATTGATTACAAAAGTATAATTGCATCCAAATCAACAGTATCTATACGACTATATAAAGGATCGTTAAAATTAAATAATATGCAAGAATCATATTGATAACAAAATGTATTCTGATCAATTTTAATATATCTAAAACAAAATCTTCATAAATATATTTTGTAAATTTACAATACATGAAAATATGTGAAACAAACTCAGGTTCTCCATTATATAATACACACATTTCATTCCCTGCTTTTCTTCCAATTTCTGGCTTTTGTTTTCAATGGCAAGATATCCCAGAGTAATTTAATTAAAAATCAGTATTTTTAATAAGTAAACGAATAGCTCGCAGAGCCATGTGATTCATATGGAGCACAGAGCTATGATTGAGAGAGGCCGTGGTTCGCCATATATTTAGGCTTTCTTTTCGGCTTTCTTCTCCCTTTGGATAAATATATAAATCCCATGTTATATCAATTAATAAATACATAAATAACCGCACTCCTCTCGGCGACTGGTTCATATTCTGTTCTGTAGATATGCATATGCTCATAGTTGTATGCTTTCAGCGTACCGTACTTCGAAACCCAAAATCAAATATGTATTAAAAAATTAAAGACCTCAATTCAAGTTAATACGGCCAGTTTCGCACCCGACTCGGCTGAAGCAAGGGATTTTGGCAGCGAGCAATGCGTTTTCTTAATATGCAACGAACCATTTAGCTGGACGACGTAAAAATGCAGGGAACAATGCCACAATGAGCAAATCTTTGCAAGTTTCCACTCATTGTATATATGCTCATTGAGCCGATCGACATGATCGCGGGATTGGGAAAACAACAAACAAACAGCTGTCAGATACACGGCGCCCACTAATGGAAACATAATATAATACGTTGTGGTAAACTGTTCAAAGCGTGAAAATATCCTGTGTGAATTGTGTCTTGTTTATTTTGTGTGCTTTTTGGGGGGATTTTGGTTTGCATTTTGTGCTTTGAATTAATCTGTGAATGGCAATAAGGTAGCATAGCCATTTCTCACACTATTCCTGGATTGAATTTCTTTCTATTTCAAATGGAAATGATGTTAAGGTTGTATGTAACATGCACTTCATTGAAAGAAGCAGGCAGCATTCTTGAAAATTGTCACAATTACAATTAGTGGCAAAGGCAATTGTGCTAATAGCAAGATCGTTAACTAAAACATTCTTAGTATAATTTCTGTTTTGGTCATACATTGAAAGCTTCTAAGAATGTAAACTACAAAGAACAATGCTAGTAAAAGTCGTTGTCTGCATTAATAAAACCTAATCCATAAGTTTCAATGATCCCAGATATGTATTTTGATCCTTTGCTTATCAGTAGACAGAATCAAACTTATAAACTACCGGCATATTTCAAAATTGCGATTCAAGATTCAAAGTTGTTAACAACCCCCACTGATTTCTCAAATTTGACAAAACTCATTGGTAGAATCTTTCCCATCCAAACCAACATATTGAGCACTGTTTGCAGTCAATAGCACACATAATACATCATTAATCAAACATATGCTGAAGACAACTCGTTGTAATGGTGCCAAATAAGAGATGAAACATATTGCTGTCTGCATTGTCTAAAGAATTGTTGTAACATGTTTACAGTAGGATTGATCAATAAGATTTTGACAATCAGCCATCGACTTTTAAAAATTGAAAATCAACGATTGTCTATGGCTATTTTGCCTATCTCTACTTCCCATATTTAGAATCAAAACTAGCCTTTCAGGAAACCATTACTTCTGTACTTGGCATTTATTATAAATTTTTGTTTTGTTGGACACTATCATTCATAAATAACCAGTTTAACAAATGAATATGTTTTTATATGCTTTTAAATCCACAGCTTATACTGAAGACTTGAGAAGTCTGTATATTGCAAATTATGCTACAAATTTACAGTATATCAAGATGCTGTCGCAGCGTTCATTTTGGAGTAAATTCAACATTGCGATATTCAACGAAACAACACAATCAGAATACTGGTAGAATTGAGTCTATCGCTGAAGTAGAAGAAGCTGCATCACACACTGCAGTCACGACGGATGAAGAAGATTCTCAATTTGAAATTCCTAAACCTTATATAGATGAAATCATTTTGAAATCAAGTCAATTTAGTACAACACAAAACTCCCGTCTTAATTTAAAACGTTTTTATGCAGAATGGAAGAGTAATCTAGAAAATTGCAAAAATTGGTCTGAAATTTGGACTGCTCCCGCCCCTTTTGATCCTCATAAATTTCCTTGCGATATAAGAATGGGGTCTGAGATGAATCTGGTGCCTAAGCCAGGTAAATATGATAACATGGAACTAATGAAAGTTCAAATTTTCTTCATTTAACGCCCCCAGCTATTAAAAACATTGTGAAGAGATTGAAAAAATTCTGTACCGAATGGCCTAAAGAATTAAAAACGGACGAAGATTGTGAAAGAGAATTTCCAGTCGAAATTCGTACGATTGATTATGTACGTTCTGGCCAATCGCAGCGTAATCCTGCCGCTAGAAAAGTGAAATTGAGGATTCGTTTGTGTAATCTAGTTTTGGATCAGCATGCAAGATTGAAACTTCAAAAACTTGCAGGTATGGGAAGTTACTGATTTATTATATGATTCTTTATTATAATATTTTTTTCTAGTCTTTCAGTTGATCTCGTAATTTTACTATTTTCTGTTAATTTTTAGAAATGCTTTACTGACAGCTCTGTTTAATATACAGTGTTTCCCCCAACCGCATTAGTTTAAATGATTTAATCTAATGCAAGGATGGACACAATAGACTTGTTTACTAGGCCGGAGACTCAATTTTAAACTATGAATAAAAACATTTATTTACGAATAATTAGAGTAATGGTAATGTACAAAAACATCTACTGTGCCAATTGTCACAATGCTGAAGGCTTTAGAATAGTTTGAGTTGGATATGGCTCGTTTGCACAATCTGAATTGTTCTCACGCGTGTCTGCTCAAATTACGACAATATTTTATGGATATAAATTTCTGTTAAAAACGGCGATGAAAATAATGAATTGTCTGCTAAATAAATACCGCAACTTCCCATGTTTTGAATTACGAGAATATTTTATGGATATAAATTTCTGTTAAAAACGCCGATGAAAATAATGAATTGTCTGCTAAATAAATACCGCAATATTCAAAACATGGGAAATTGCGGTATTTATTTAGCAGACAATTCATTAATTTCATCGACGTTTTTAACAGAAATTTATATCCATAAAATATTGTCGTAATTTGAGCAGACACGCGTGAGAACAATTCAGATTGTCAGATCTGGCCCGCGCTGCTGATCGAATGCTTATGAATGTTGTTCTGGGAACTTTTTAGCTACCTATTTCATTTTTTCCTCCATTTGCATTAATAAATAGTGATTTTTTTTGTTGTGTCATAGTATAGACCCGGACGACAATACTTGAATTACCGTAGTCAATGTTGAAGTGAAAAACTTTGCCTTATTCACTGAGATTGACTTCAAGCTAAAAAATTTAAAGAGGCTGTTGTTTAGGTAACCCTGTGTCTGATTCTATACGTTTGAATATTGTATTACAAATTCCTTTATTGATATTTCAGGTCCAAGATACAACAAGAATACAGATATCTTATCAATTAAATCAATCAGATGTCCAGTGAGGAAACAAAATCGAGAATATCTTGATTATCTTCTTACTGTTTTGTATTATGAATCTTGGAAAATTGAAAAATGGGAAACTAGAGAAAATATTAATGATGAGGATGGTATTTACTGGTGGAAAGATTCAAATTCATACAATAATCTACTTCGTGTATTAAAATCTCACCCTGACTACAAATCCCTATTTGACGATACTGATTCTAAGGAACAAGCCAGTAAAATAGAAGATAATGAAAAAGTTAAAAATTATAGAGATGCTGTTGTGGGATTGAAAATTCCTGAACCAATTATGACACAAAATGATCATAAAAGAAAAATTGTAGAATACAAAGAAGCCGTGAGAACAATGTTAAATCTTCCGCAGTTGTGTTGATGAAGACATTTTTTCTGTTTCATATTTTGCCACAATATGGAATAGTATATTATGTTCAGAATATGAAATTATGATGCATTTGCATTCAGTAGATTATATTGTCTTTTTTCAAATTGTTGGCTTTTATCTAAATTTGTCCCCATTCAGTGAAAGTAACATTATTTGTATCCCATTTCTCATTGCCAAATTTAGCATCGATAAAAAATGATTCAATAAAGATTCAACGTCATGAACTGACAATCTAACTTCTCTAAAATACTAGCATAAATATAGCATAATGAAAGCAGCATGTGTGTGGCATTTTAAAATACTTCAGTGGTAATTTGCTATATTTTCCGATAATTCCAATTCTTATATATTTGGATAAGAAGTCAAAGGTATTTGTCATTTACAGCTCTTATTTTGAACCTTAACTTGTTTAGCTTCCTCATTTTGCTACTAACAATTTGACAATCATTTCCACCACCCTGAAACCGAGTATGTGGCTTAATAGGGACTTATTCTCCGGGTATGTGGCTTAATAGGGACCTATTCTGAGCCATGTCATGAAAACAAAATTTTTGAAATTAGCATACGTTAGGGTTAACAACTTAAAAAGACAATTGTCTTACTTAGACTTTCGTCTTGTTTATTTTGTCTTATTTATTTTCAGATCTAGTTTATAACGTTACATATATTAAATCATTATCCCGGTCTTGAAACATGCTGAATTCATCTAGCGAAGATAGCGTTCCTAGTTTCACCCTAACTCTTGTCAGGCACGGAGAAACAGAGGCAAATGTTTTTGGATTAATTCAAGGACAAGGTGTTGATTCGTCACTAAATAAACGAGGAAAAAAGCAATCTGGAAAGATCAAATCCTTTTTGTCATCAGAAATTTTTGACCTTGTTTATTCAAGTGATTTGAAACGAGCAAAGCAAACTTGTGAGATTATTCTAGAACAATCTGATTCGCCTAACGAACATCAAGCTGGCTCTAAACTGTCTTCAGAGAAAATAATTTATGATAAAAGGTTACGAGAAAGGTGTTTCGGAGTTATGGAAGGACGATATTATCATGAGATGGACAATGTTGCTTTTCCGTCAGACAGATCAGCTGAAAATAATCTTCCTGATGGAGCTGAATCAATAAAAGAATTAGAAGCAAGGGCTTTTTCATTTTTTAAAGATTTGTGCGAACACGTTTACAACAGCTTCACATTAACTGACAATAAAACATCACCCAGTACTGTTAACATATTAATTGTGTCCCATGGCGGACTTTTAGCCTCTTTAAGTAATGTGTTTGCTGAAAAGTTTCATTGTTCTTATCCACGTGGTGTTCATCCGGCACAGATATCAGTGAATACAGCTAGATCAAAATTTACTGTAATGTTCAAAGATTGTACCTTTGCAAAAAATAAAAAATTTAATTTAAAATCGATCGGAATGGAATGCAATGTTTTAAATGATAGTTCTCATCTCTACAACTGATATCAGTTGATTGTACGGTATCTTTTAATTCACAAAAATTATTATTGTACATAGATGATGACTCTCTCACAGTATTTCATTTTTATGCTTCAGTTTCAATCAATATATTTGATATTAATTCCAGCAAGCAATATAGCATATTATGTTTTGGGTAGGACCAGAATCTTTCTAAATTTTCTTTTTTACCATTTGTTTGAAAAGGTTTGTTTCTTCAATCAGAATAAACACCTAATAATCATGTGTAAGGTTCCACCATATTGGGTGAGAACAGAACTTTTTGCTTAGGAACAACCTTTAATATTGTACCTTGAGAAATGTACTGGGCATTCGGCATGCACAGTAGATTTCTCATTCGCTATGCCGAATGCGAATGTGCTCACTTAACTATGGCCATAGTGCCCATTAATATATATCTCGATTTCCTCCATTTTGCTTGGAATGATGAAGCATATTTTTTTGAAGTCTTTAATAACTGATTGTCTTTGTTACCTTACAGCCTTGGATCTGTGTGGCGTGATTGCTGTTATAAATATACATTGTTCATTGACAACTGTTCATATCATTTTTGTTGAGTTTATTTAATTACATTTGATAGAGGTTGTTTTTTTCTGGATTTAGGAGCGAAGAATGACATTATGGCATTTGAAAATTAAACCATGATTTCAGATTATATATATATGTCTTGTTTTATATATTTCTTATTTAATAATATATATTTATTATTTATGATCACTTATACGGTAATTCAATATATTTATTCAACACCAACCCTTTTTTCATTATAAAGCACATTAGCTAGTGATTAAAAAGCTCATGTGATCTTGTTTTTCAGAATAGTTTGATCATTAATTGTCATCAGCGATTTTGAAATGGAATTAAACGAAGTTTACTACGATAAGGCAAACTATATAGAGACGGTGAGTTATGCAATTAGGAATAGGCTTATGCTGTTTTCAATTTAAGTACGGTAATGAATACTTTTGTGTGTTGGTGGCAAACTTGGTGCAAAATCATAGATAAATGATAAATAGGTAGTTCCACAAAAACACAATTGAATGCAATCAATTAGCATTCATGTATTTGATAGTGAGTAGCAACACTAGCAATATCAATGTGTTACTGCCTATGCGAATTGAGAGATAGTGCAGGGATAGTATGAATTGAATGTTGGCTTTTAGTCTATATTTCTACAACATTTCTCCTTCTGTGAAATAGACCAGATTGTTATTTGTGCTTAATAAATATAATTTTCAAAATGTACGCAAATTTATGTGTTCGCTAAAAGCAGAGTGTCAGTAAGTAGTAGTGGCTATATTGGCAACTGTAGGTAGGACTGAATCTTATAATTTTTTTTTGTTTTCAATTTTTATACAATCATTTGAAAACCCATCACAGATAGGGGGGAGAGATATTTTCTTGTGAAACAATGGCAGTCTCTGGCTTGTGCTTTGCATAATACTATTTTTCGATTGAAAGCATGTATATATCACTACAGATGTTATTTGGTATGCAAGCACCTAATAATGACTGTAATTTGCGATTAGTTTCATCTTACATGTTACAATAAGCGAGTACTTTGAATGCAAGTTCTATATCTGATATTGTCGGCAGAGTTCCAACATGAAAACATATTAGGACTAATGGCATATTTTTCATATGTACAATGCATACGTTTATGCAATGGATTAGGTAGTATGCTAGTTTTGGTTATCTTTTGCATCACAAATATCATATCATATGTTTTATAGGTTAATTTGATTTAAAATCAAAATGTTGAATCTATATAAATACATACCAATCCTAGTATTTTCTCGCGCGTTTTGTTTCCACTCAGTCTCGTGCCAACCTTCACTTCCTCACATTTTTAACATCACTGTCGATGCATCGAATTTGATCAATGTATTTGATCACTTTTGGGAAAGTACGGGAATGTGTCCTCCACTTCCACATCAAAATGCATCAGATTATTATCTGAGCCAAGATATGTTACAAAATCTCATACATATTGGTTCTGTGCCTCATTCAGGCATAAAACAAGTACGCATGCACTGGTTACTCGACATGGTAACTTATGATAAAGAAAAACATACTTACAACTTCACTAATTTGGATACGCTATTCAAATTTATGAGAAAATACAACTTGAACCCTGGTTTCGAACTAATGGGGAGTCCTTCGAATAAATTCACAAATTTTGATGACCATGATCAAATCATAGATTGGATGAATCTTGTCACACAATTAGGAAAAAGATACATACAGATGTTTGGATTAGATGTTGTATCAAAATGGAACTTTGAGACCTGGAACGAACCTGATCACGAAGATTTTGACAATGTTATTATGTCAGTAGAAGGATTTCTCAAATATTATGATGCTTGCTCAGAAGGTCTTAATGCGGCAGATAGTTTGTTAAGATTCGGGGGTCCTGGTGGGTCTTGCAGAAAAGAATCATTTTCAAAACGATGTTGGGCATTGTTGGAGCACTGCACAGAGGGTACAAATTATATAACTGGAAGTAAAGGTAGTAGACTTGACTATATATCAATGCACAAAAAAGGTGGCGGAAGCTCTTCCTATATAATTGAATCAGAACTTGAAACAATCTCTAAGATTCACAGCCTGTATCCATCGCTCATTTCAACTCAAATCTACAATGATGAAGCCGATCCCATGGTTGGTTGGAGCAGGCCATACTCATGGAGAGCTGATGCCACTTATGCTGCAATTGTTGCAAAAATTATTGCCCAGCACCAGTATAGAATTATCACTAATGAAAGTTCCCATATTATTTACTCCCTCCTTAGCAATGACAATGGATTTTTAAATTATTCACCTTATTATTTTACTCAGCGAACATTGACTGCTAGGTTCCAGATGAACAACACTTCACCACCACACGTTCATTTTGTGAAAAAGCCAATTTATGCTTCAATGATGCTTTTGTCAAAATTAGGACATATGCTATTGGGATCTGAAATTGTTCGACTATACAATAATACTCCCGACGATCGTATCGGGGTTATTGCTACTGTATGTCAAGCTGGAACATTTGGATGCTCAAATCAGGAAATCACTTTGCTGACATACTGTAGCGATGATACAAACCCAAGCAAAGACACAGTTGATGTTTTTATTAATTTCGTAAATCTTACTCCTATTGAAGCAAATACATACATAATGACTTGCCGTGTAGATGAAAGTACAAATCCTTGGCAAGTATGGAAAAATGCAGGTAGCCCAGATTTTCCTAGCCGAAAAGTTTTTGCAAATATGCACCTTGCATCTGAGCCTAATTGTGATGGAGCATATCAAGTACCGATAACCCCTGACCCCCGCAAAATAGGTGTAGAAATGCAGTTGATGCTGCCAGGTGTTTATCTTCATCAAATATGCAGGATGCCCCCAGACGAACCTAAAGCTCCAATACTTCTTTCTGTTACTAATGTGACGTCAGCTCAAGTACTCATTGCTTGGAATGATAGTCCGCTAACTACTAAATGTATCAAAACATACTTTATAGTTCTATGTGCTGATGCCTCTTGCAAATCACTCCAAGAAGTCAATCCCAATAGAGTGTTGTCAAATTCTTTTGTGTACATGTCTCCGACTGAAAAAGAAAAAGATGTTTATGGATATTATAAAGTAGCAGTTGTCGACTTCTGGAGCAGATATAGCACATTCTCAAACACAATTGCTTACCCATAAATTGGGTGCTTAATTCGAAAGTTATTTCAAAGCAAGAGCGTCGCCAAGAAATTTTTCAACGGGGGTTGGGGGGGTTCTGAGATTTCAAATTGCCAAGTTAGACCGTATAAGAAAAATGCTTTTTTCACATTTCAAATGGGTGGATTCCTACTTTCACACCCTCTCGCCTGGCTATGCCCCTGTTCCAAACTGTGAAAATCATTAATAATTTCATTGAGAATTGAACCAATTAATGGGGTTTAAACCAAAAATATTGAAAAAAGTTACTGATATTTTGCAGTCGTCACAGTTTTTGCCAAAGGCTTGTCTTCTGTAATGATTGCTTGTTTGTCGCTTCAAATTATAAATTAAAAATATTGTTCATCAGGGTTTTATGATACTTTTCAATACATGTATGAATATTTTGTAGATATCACCATATATCTTACATGGGCAAACTATGGCCCACAGGCCAAATCCGGCCGGTCTCATGCTGCCGCAATTAAACTAAAATCGATTTTTGATGTTTTAGCGAAAAAATAGCTCAAGGAATTTGTTGAGATTGCGATTAAGTTACCTAAGTTTTGACATGAGGCTTTTTGTTTTCAACTTTTGCTTTTGTAACACTGTAAATATTGTTCATAAAATGTAACCTTTTACGTCACACTTAATATGGGCCGCCAGACTATGTGGGTGAAATTATTGGCCCCTGGTCCAGAAACCTTGCCCACCCCTGCCATATATTCTTGTTTATTTTTACACCATAAAGTATGGAAACTCAAATCTTATTTTTCATCACTCCCTCTCTTATATCACTGAATTTTGTGAAGCATCTAAATATGTTGAAAAAATATTTGATTAATTTTCCTGCTTCGAATATGTTTCTACTAAACCATAATGATGCATTATGAAATGTATGATTTCTTCTATCTAAAAATTTATTCATATACTTGTGCAATTTCTCTCTTCCCTTTTTTGTTTTGATCAGTAAGTTAGTTGTACTATTCCAGGCATCAGGGAATAAAGTGAGCAGACATTCAGTATTATGTGGAAGTCAGAACATCGTCCTAAATGGCAAGGTAAAGTTTGCTTCATGCTTATTTTCCTGTTTTTTTGTGTTATGATCATAATTTTCTATACATTAGTTTGTCAGATATATTAAAAAATGAAATGAACTCAACATAGTACTTACTAATAAATAGAATTGTATTCATTGCAGTGATGCCCAAAACTGTATAATTGACTTTTTCGAATATATTTCAAAATGTTTTTTAATATGGAATACTGAAGTTGTCTCAATTTTGGTCTTTGCTTTTTGCATTTCTCAAATGTGCTTTGACTTAACATAACTAGAATATTATTTCTTTATTTCAGACCATAGTTCAAAACGACTGTATAATAAGAGGAGATCTAGCAAATGTTAGAGTTGGAAGACACTGTGTGATCAAGAGTCGTTCCGTTATCCGACCAGCGTTCAAGAAATTCAGTAAGGGGTATGACATTGCTGACTATGTCTTAAAATTATCACAGCATCGTGATACTAACTCTCATTTTACATATCTTTGGTTTGCTTTGGCGATTGTTCTTTTTTAGGTTTTTTAACAATGTGTATCAGTGGCTAAAAGTAAATCCAGCAATCGACATGATGATTAATATATATGAATTTTTCACTTCTTCACGAATGTGTAATAGAAGATAAACTATGATTTTGAATGAATGGAAACTCCTCATAGATTAACGAATGTTGTAAACTTGCAGTGTATATATTCATCTCTCAACCTTATGTGGTTTGAGGGAATTTGTAATAAGAATTTACTTGAGCTTGTCGATAGGAACAGTGAAGAGTTTGAGCCATCCTGTATTCAATTCGAGACTTAAAACCAAGCACCTTTAATTATGACTTGAAATAAGGTTTTGTGATCTCTCCACCTTTGGGGGTTTTAGACATCAAGAAACGGTTGTTTGTTTATATACTTTAGGTGCACAAATGTATGGTCCTGGGTGTTACATAGCTACTTTGGGAAGAAATACTGGATAGTTTCTTAATTGCTAATAATGTTGTAGCATAATTGCAATAATTTGTATTTCAACAGGGTTGCATTTTTTCCATCTGTGATTGGTGATCATGTCTACATTGATGTAGATTCTGTTGTTAATTCTGCACAGATCGGATCTTATGTTCATATAGGAAAAAATTGTATAATTGTAAGTACTGTTGCAATAGCATATCAGATTGCTTACTGAGCCTTAGATTTATGTTTCAATTATCAACCTGCTTGGACTGCTTAATTTCAAATTTGCTGCAAACTGCGGAGTATTTTTTATTCCTGAGTGATTAATTCAGGTCAGACTGAGCCACAATTTATGGAAGACTCAAAAGTGAATTGAGTCATCTAAATGGAATGGACTCGTCAAAAATTTACTACCAGTGAGACTCTGTGATTAACTCGACTATTGACTCAACTCAGATGATCTGTTACCCACAATCTGCGGGTTAGAAACTCCCACTCAGCACTGGGGGCGAACTGAACTTTTTGTTAAACTCTAGCCATTTTTCATAAAACTTTGTTTTCTCTAAATCCGTAGCTCTATTTTAATCCAGTCCACTATCCTTAGTGGAGACTAGTCAAAACATTTTGTCATAATTTGATGTATTTTTAATAAGGGTCGGAGATGTGTATTGAAAGACTGTTGTATGATTGCTGACAACACAGTCTTACCTCCTGAAACAGTTGTTCCACCATTTTGTGTTTATGGAGGATCACCAGGTTCGATCATTATTTTTTATGCAAAAATCGACATATTCAAAATACCAGCAAATGCTGCACAATAATAGTATGTTTACAGAGAGAAGGTAACTTTTGTGCAGCATTCTAGGTTTACTGGAACCTATGGGTACAATCAGAAATTCAAGTGTTCATAAATTTTCGTCATTTTTGTAGTAGTAATAAAGAAATGTTTTTTGGGGTACTCCTTTTTGAAGAAACTACATCCCCATCCCATGTCATCAATTGTTTCAATCTAACATTTTCACTTTGCAATTTATTTCTTCTAATTCATTTAAACCACACCCAATGCAAAATGTTATCTAACGAAATGTCAATGTCTGTTGATTAGTTGAACTACGCTATTATAATTTGAAACTTTTTACAGATTATATATGGTACATTTATTTCAGGTCAATTTGTTAAACAACTACCTGAATGTACTCAAGATTTAATGATTGATGCAACTACTCAGTATTATAAAAAATTTATACCAAAACCAACAAGCTGATGATGCATATTCAACTACACATATTGGCTCTGGAATTTGCATTTTGTTTCACTTAATGTCTGTTTCTGTGGATCGGGAGGTTGAGGTTAAGCAACTATGCTATAGATCAGTGGTTGTCAAACTTTTTAGAATTTGTAAAGTCTCGCGCTCCACCTCAAAAATAACTAGTTAACAATAAGCTACAAATAACAGATAGTAAGGCAAAAGTATGTTTTATTCAAGAATATGTTGAAAATACGTGGATTAAATGTAAATAATGAAAATAAATGAAAATTTTTAAGAACAAGGCAGGCAAGATCAAATCTAACAAATATTTTTAATTTTGATTAGCTTCGCGACCCCTCAAAAAATTGCCTACCCATACCCCCCACCCTCCTGTAGAGCTTGCCCCATCGTTTGAGAATCACTGCTATAGATTGAATTCTGACTGTATAGAACATGTGCTCGAAATTTCCTCAAGATATAGTTCTTGTTATTGTAAATCTATTATTATTCATTCTGTATAATTCGGTGGTCTCCAAACTGCAGATCATCACATTTTCTAAAATTTACTTCTGGAAAATGATCAAATTAATATTGGACATTCATTTGTGTGATCAAAAATAAGCTGACTGAATAAATATAAATTGCAAAACTCGCATATGACATAATAAAATAAATTTGTATTGTAAAACTTTTTCATGTTGTAATATAATTCAAATAACGTCATGTTCCTCTGGATGCATCATATCTGTGTTACAGAAAGCAAATGCATTAAAAGTTTTGCAACCTATGGTTTCATAGTTTAACAGAAAATATTCCATGCAAAGGCTGTGATGGTTAACTGAATTAGTGATTTGTCATGAATGCGCTACCCAGTTATCAAGTTTGTTAACAGTTTTCCTATCGGTCAGAAATTTAGCAATAATTCGTTAGCTACAAAGTGGGTATTATAATTATTTTTGTACTTATTCTCTTGTTGTTGCATGTCAAAATAACAATATACAAAATTTTTGTCATTCTGTGTTTCGGTAATATTGTTAGTTGTGTTTCAGTCTAAAATCTCATTGTTTTGTTGGAAACCATTCAAGTGTGGATGTGCATTTCTTGCTCAATCAGTGAAAGATTCTTAAGTAGCCAGACTAGCCTTTCGCTGCTGTGAGAGATATTAAATTGATGGTATGAATACATTTAGATAAACATGTCATGGCCAATCTTTTTACGATGTCAGTTTTAATAATCAGGTGTGAGTGTAAAAGTATGTTGACACGGGAGTGAAACAACGTGTTGTTACACCTTATTTGAGTTTGTTCATTGAGGCATTGATCATATGAAATTGGGTATATTTTAACAAGCTTTTAACAATCAAACTTGACCCGGTTAGTTGTTCCATGTTATGTGATCTTCTTCATATAAGATTAGGTGAAGAAAATTGTGGAAGGCCAAGCTGTCAACCTAACTCAGTGATATTCAACCAGTGTTCCATGTCAAATTGTTGTTTCTCAATTTTTTTCTAATATGATGTAAATATGGTCACAAATTATAGGAATTCACAGCAAGAACTACCATTTATGTATCCCTGAAATGGGCAAACTATGACTATGAACTGGCCCGCCCGTTGCTGCCACAACCAAATTTTGATGTTTCGGCTAGAAATAGCTAGAGGAATTCGTTGAGATCGCAATTAAATTTAGTTTTGGCACGAGGCTTATTGCTCGGCTTTTGTTTGTCACACCTACATCGCCCACCAGTCTAAATGGGCAAAATTTTTGGCCCCTTTTCCAAAAACCTTGCCTACCCCTAATTTAGCCTCAAACCTCACCAGATTGTTAGCTCACAGATTCAAAGTCTTCAGCACACACAGGAATCCACTACTTCGTCAGTATTCCATGCAGTACCATTTCCTAACCTACATTACTCTTCAAGAACTTGCTCAATAACAAATGTTAAGAAACAGTCATTATTTCCATATATATATATTCCACAGACATTACGACTGATATATAAACTGGGAAAGAACATTTAAAATCAGTTCAAGTACCTACTAAGTCAGAAATAGGTTCACAAAGAATAAGTGGCTCATAGTATTTAGACCAGACTGCCCAGAAATTTAACAGAAGAAACGCAAAAATAAAACTGTGTTATAGATAGGGTTTTGGTTTTCTCCAAGCATCAAACCATGGCCATTTCAAACAGTTTACGGTAACTGAATCTTTTCTATGGAAGTTTTGGATGTAAACACACATCATAATACGAGTGGCCAAATTTAAAAGGCAAGAAAGCGACATCTGTGCTATCAATTTATGAATCATACATAGGTCATCAATAACACATGCAAAATATCTTGTCTGCATCAGAATTAATCTCGATCAACATTGATTGAACAAAAAATAACTTGATTACTTTTTAAAAAAATCATGATCACTTCACAAAGCTGATTGAACAAGAAATAACTTGATTACTTTTTAAAAAAATCATGATCACTTCACAAAGCTGTACAATGGTGATTATTTCATTAACATATAATCAGGATAAAATTTAGGTATCGCCAAAATCTTTGAATTCAAAACAATAACATTTTGCTTACATAATAAATCATTAACATGAAATTAAGCATGATATTATTCAACAAATAAAATCCAAACTAGGTAATATAACACCATACAGTGGTAAACAATCGTAATGATTTCCTGACTTTCTAGAAATACGTCATAAGCAAGACCAGCCATAATAGAAATTTTTCAAAGCGATGCAATTGGAGCAAAAAATGATCATGAAGGATTTATTAAGGTTGAGATGTTCACTATTCGAATTATTGCTTGGGACAAGGATGCTTAAAATTGAATAATTTCTATTTTAAATACATATAAATTGGGTTGATGTGAGATCGATATAAATTATATATAGTAATCTATACATCATTTTGGTTATTGGCTGTGATTTTCTATTTTTACAATGTCAGAAAATTATGTCACCATTTTTAAATGTGTTTGATTTGTTCTGGACATTCCTGGCTTAAGATATGTTGAAGTCACTTGCATGAAGAATTACCAACTACTCGTCAAACCATAATTGCATCATCCAATCGTACTCCACCAAATTTCAAACTTGAGACAATTAAAAATAAAATTTACATGCCATTGACTGTGATTGACATAATTAAATTCAGCAATAATTATAGGTGTGTTTTCTATTAAATTGATTACAGAAGTAACTAACCTAACATATAAAGCCATTTGCCATATAAAAACACATATAATATTTCCACACGCTAATTAAAAATACAATAACAACTGACCCTACATAAATTGCCAAACCTCCCAAGAAAGCAAGTCTTTAAAAATATACATAAGGATGGAAACATTCGACGAAGATATAAGACGACATAATTCATCATTAAAGGTAAAACAGCAAAGAAAAAAATGTGCAATAATGCTGACTGTAAACAAAACATTCCAGCTCTATAGTAAAATGATTTTAGCATAAGTATACTATATCACTCTCTATACACTTTCGAAGACTTTTTAAAGCTAACATACACTTTTTAAAGCTAACATAATTCCTTTAAATCCTTCCACAAACATTTTTACACTATATCTTATTTATCTTGAAAAAAAAGCATACCGGTAACTCTAAAAAATACCTCGATTTCATTGAACTAGGTATATATAACAAAAGCAAGTTTGTAGAAAAACGGGTCTCAAATAAGTATATGCAAACCCAGCATCAAGCTAACTCATTCCCAAATCAGAATATATCTAATTGTCAGATGTCGATGTTGGAGATGCTAACGGGGCATGCCGCTACGACAAACCAATCAACGTTAGCTGAGAAATATATCTAGAGCCGAAAAAGCCAGATTCTGCATCAAATAAAGTTTGTGGTCTTCTCCCGACAATTTTCCAATAAAAATATTTAAAAGTATTTTTTTTCTTCATTGATTTCTCTCCTTATACAGAAATTGAGACGAAGCTGTTGTATTGTTGCATATTACGCTTCAGAATTTCTGAACATTCTCCGAGAAGACGTTCAAATCGAGCTCTGTCCAGTTTTACACATTTCAATTGCGACCTGGCGACAACCGTGGCTGCACGTGGGCGATCAAGCAAGAGAGCAATTTCACCTGGAGGGAATGAATAATAATAAACTGAAATTCTGATTGAAAACATTTAATGTAGAGGTTCAAAGAAGTGCGCTCCAGAAGTGTGTGTACCAATATGGAGGTAACTAATTTTGTTCACCTACTTTACATCAAGTTGTGTAAAGGGACAGAATAATCACTTGGCTAACACAGACAGTCCCTGAACTCGTAACAGAACTAAAATAAGAAAAATCGTAATAAAATTATGGCCTAACCTTAACCAGATACACACTCTACAGACTCAGTACAGAGTACCCCAAAAAGTTATTACAAGTAATATATATTATTTAACATTTTATAATTAAAATTGTCTGTTATTACCCGAAAATACTCAAAAAACAAAAAACTCACCGAAATAATCAGAAGGTCCTAGATGTCCAACTTCGGTATATTCATCAGTTTCACACCTACGTTGTAGTACAGCAGCACTGCCCTAGTAAAAGGAAGAAGATATTTTGAATCAGCTTAATATAGGGAATTATGATAAATAAAGAAAAACAGTTAAAAAATTAACAATTGATTTCAAATAATCTTAATTAGGTTTATTATGCAGAGAATCTGGTGAATTTTTCAAGAAATCACTAATTTCAGTTTAACTTAAATTTATCTTGAAAAATGTTTTATGTCTGGGTGGCATGTCATTTTAGGTTCGCTCAGAGTATAGCTGAATAGACACGAATAAATTGAAAAATTATTAAAACTGACTTGGAATATGCACCGAAACTACGATACTCTGTCAAAATGGCACAGACTTACCTCTACAATAATGAAGAAATCATTTCCTGGCTGTCCTTGAACAACAACTTCATCTCCACTGTCGAATTGGGCAGGTTCGAGAGCATCAGCAACAGTCAACCTCTCCCATTTGTCAAGTGATTCTAAACATTATAAATATAAGAAAATATTAATACAGTGATATGTCAATAGTTGGACAACTCGATACTCGAACAATTCGATATTCGACTAGGAAATTCTAGCAAAAATTGTTATGGTTACTCGAACCGAAGTTTGGTGCTGGAACACACGAGTGCGCTGCCGAGTAAGATGACATCACCCGAACTGCGCATCTTGGCTGCCTCTTGACCATTCAAACACGAGAGCGATACTTAAACATATGGATAGAAAGCCATAACGAAGTAGTACAGGTATGCAATCTGTCAGAGTAGACTACAGGTATGGAAATCTTCACAACTAACGCAAAATCTCTACAAAGTGCGCAATTTTTGATGACGTCATCGAACACAAAGAAGGAATCCCAGTTTGGGAACTACCGCTCTATATGATTCAAAATATAGCTGTACACTAACTTAAATATACAGGGTATTCACAAAGTCAATTTCAATTTTGATTATGAATTCAGAATTCTAACTTATCTTAACAGAGACCAACAAACTATAGCCTATATCAGGCCTGGGCAAGCTCCGGCCCGCGGGCCGCATCCGGCCCGCGGCAACGTTTCATCCGGCCCGCGAGCAGATTTCTAAATTAAGACACTTACATTTTTCATTTACATATAAAATATACTTTGAGGGCAAATTTCATTAATGTAATAGAAATAAGCGTTTTGGTAGCTTTGTGTATTTTAGATTAGACCATGGCATAGTACCAACTGCTATCTGTAGTCATCTTTGTCGCAACGATCAGCGCTTGTTTTTGCACGTGATTACTGAACAGCAGAGTAATCGAAGCGTGAATTTTGCGCGCGTAATTTCGATGAGTCGCGTTTTGATTCGTGTCCCAATTAAGAAGGATACAGTTACGCTAGTCAGCTCTGCGCTACTCAGCGTTTCAAATATTGTAGAAGTAGTGGTATGTAGATAAATTGTTGAATTGTGCCCAGCTTTATTTTATTCTTTGTTTATCCTTTTATTTATGTAACTTGAACTGTAGCGTCAATTCTAAACCTGTGCTAGATCTACAAAGTTGCAAAATGTCAGCCGAAAACAAGAAAAGAAAAGTTGACACAGAATGCAGAATTTTTAACAAAAGTTGGACAGCAAAGTATTTATTCACAGAAGTCGATGGGATAGCTGTTTGTCTGGTTTGCAAGGAGAAGGTCGCGGTTATTAGGTTTTAATTTAAAAAGGCATTTTGAGACAAAACATGCAAAAAAATACAAAAATCTAAGTAATAATGAAATGGCGCAAACAGCGGAGAGTATGGTAGCAAAGCTCGAAAAACAGCAAAGTTTTTTCACACGACTCCATGCATCTAATGATGCAGCTGTCATGGCCAGTTTCGTAACAGCTCACAAAATCGCTCAAAACAGCAAACCATTTTCTGAAGGGGAGTTCGTCAAAGAATGTTTAGTAGAGACGGCAGCAATTGTTTGTCCTGATAAAACAGATGCTTTTAAACAAGTTCCGCTATCGAGAAGAACTGTCACCAGAAGGGTTGAGTGTATCGCAGGAGATTTAAGAGATCAGTTGCTACATTATGTCAAACAATTTGACTTCTTCACTTTAGCGTTAGACGAGAGTTGTGATGTACGCGACACTGCTCAGTTGCTTATTTTCGTTCGTGGAATTACTTGTGATTTCAAAATTACTGAAGAAATAGCTGCTATAAGACCAATGAAAGGAACAACAACAGGTGCAGATATTTTTAGCGAGGTAGATGCATCCATGGATAAGTTGGGACTTAAATGGGAAAAATTGGCGGGAGTGACGACAGATGGGTGCCCAAATCTTACAGGAAAAAATGTGGGATTGTTGAAGCGCATGAAAGACAGAGTTAATGAAATTGACCCAAAGCAGCAGTTAGTGTTTTTACATTGTATCATACATCAACAGGTATTGTGCAAGTCAGTGCTAAAAATAAGCCATGTCACTGATGTTGTTACAAAACTAGTTAACTTCATCAGGTCTCGAGCACTAAATCACAGACAGTTTATTTCCCTGTTGGAAGAGCAAGAAAATGAGCACACTGACATAGGATATCATACAACTGTGAGATGGCTCAGTTTAGGCAAAATACTGAAGCGAGTTTGGGACTTGCAGCAGGAGATTCGAGAATTCTGTCAAACAAAGAACAAGGATATTCCGCAGCTTTCAGATAAGAAATGGTTATCTGATTTTGCTTTTGTTGTTGATGTCACTGCTCTATTGAATGAGTTGAATTGCAAACTCCAAAGTAAAAAACTGTTTGTGCATAATATGCACAGCTTGGTAAAATCGTTCATAACGAAATTGCAGTTTCTTTCACGCCAATTACAGAACAATAATCTCGCTCATTTTCCCACACTCAACACAGCTACCACATCTGCAAATGATTTTCAAAAGTACTCTACAATGCTAGATGCACTGCATGCTGAATTTTTAAGACGATTTGAAGATTTCCGATTAATTGAAAATAAAATGAGTATGGTCTCTTCTCCTTTCACCAGTAACGTGGAAAACATACCATCTGATGCACAACTCGAGCTTATTGATTTGCAGTGTGACACTTTACTTCAGGAAAAATTTAAATCATCTGAAATTCTGGATTTTTATTCCTCTCTAAATAAAAAAAGTTTTCCCAACATAAGGAGACATGCTCAAAAGATGCTAGTTCTTTTCGGATCCACTTATATTTGCGAGCACACCTTCACAGTAATGAATTTTACCAAATCGAAATTTCGGTCGTCTCTCACCGATGAACATCTTTCTGATTTGCTGAGAATATCTACGTCTGCCATTGAACCCGACATTCAAGGACTTGTTAAGGCGCAGCAGAGCATACACACGTCTCATTGAAAATAACAATTGTATTAGATTTTGTTCCATTCAATTGTGTAATAAAATACAATAAAAAACGCAATGTGGGTTGACTCAAATTAGTCCGGCCCGCCACTGCATTTTGATTTGCAATGTGGCCCTCGAGCAAAAATAATTGCCCAGCCCTGGCCTATATGATATTGATGAATTCTCTTTGCACTCTATAAAATTAGTGAATTATTGATTTACTAAAATCAAAACTTTGTATTGTTTTATCTGATCACAACAAAAGAATAGCAAAAATCAGTTTTTGAAAATCCAAAACGAGAGTAAAATGATTATGTTGCAAGCAATAGAGATAAAAGGAGCATATACTAATCATAACGAAATGATAATATATGCAATATTGATCTCATTGGTTGTAAATAAGACACTCCAGAAGTGTGTGTAACAATATGGAGGTAACTAATTTTGTTTGCCTACTTTACATCAAGTTGTGTAAAGGGACTGAAACCTATGGGCAGGGGGTTCACTAGACTAACACAGACACACACTATGGGAGTACCGAAAATAATACTGACACCTACCAAGAATGGATATCTTGCTCAAGAATTCCTCATACATGGTACGTTTCTTGATTTGACTTCCCATCAGAATTCTTCTATAGCTGTCTCTATCGATTGCCCATAACTTGAGTTGAGTTTTGGCTTTGACATCAGCAGCTCTTGGTGTTCCATAAATGAGTGCAAGCTCACCAAAGCTCGCTCCTTCGCCAAGAGTTGTCACACATTTGTTGTTCACATAGATCTAAGTAGAACAAGATTGAAATTATGAATCAAGTTGGAAGAATGTTGATAGTATAACCAAATTGATGTCAAAAATATCTGTAAATTAAGCACATCTCAATTTATAATTACATTTTATTTGTTCAAATTAGGTTTGAGGGATTCGGATTCATTTCTTTCAAGGCAAACGATACCATTATAACAAGATCGTCTTGAAAAAGTTTAGCAGCACAGAATCACCACACAATCATAAATATTTTTTTAATAAAAGTTGCTTTTATAAGTGTCAATTTGCTTCACAAAAATCCATTTTAAATATTCAATATTCCAATAATCATCCAGATAATTCTTAATTAATACTTTTCCGATACAATCAGTTCTAGAACATTATTTGAGTAGTAACTTTCAATAACCAACTTTAATTTGGAATAAATTGTATAGGCAATTAGAAATTTGCCCTTCGTTTACTTGTATGCCAAAATCTATATACCGGTAATTGGATTCACTGTAATGATTAGTTAATAGAAACCTATCAATAAGAATATGATCCAACAATAATAAGTAGATTATATTTTCTTAAGCTTAAGACTGGATTAGTTCATGTCATTCAGCATTGAAAATACAACGTAAAGGTAAAATAAACAAAAGGATTTAGTCAAAACAGAATGAACACAACCAAACCAGTCCAGTGAGGTTTGATCATTAATTATCATTTTCAATTTACAAATAAGGTTTTCAGTATTACATATCAGCTTATGATCATATCTTTGCATGAATAAATGATCAATTTGAATATACAGGGTGTCCATAAAGTCCCTTTACAGTTTCATTTTTGTTATGAAGTCAGTTCTCAATATATCTTAGCCAGGTTTGATGTTTTATAATCAGAAATTGTTCAAGTATTTTTACTTCATTTATTACATAAGTGAGGGCCAAAAAAATAAAGGTATCAATAAATTCCCTTTGCAATTTAAAAAATTTTAGACTTTAAGGACACCCTAGAGTGAAATAATGTATTGCGTAGTGGTAATAATAAATGTTTGATTTATACCATACTACAACGTGATCGAAGTATGTTTCTTCGTATCTAATCAACCACATGGTAACAATGGATTATTCATTTCCGTAGTTTGAATATCAAAAATAACCAATGTAATAACAAATAACCAGGAAGTATGCTGAAATACCATAATAAAGTAAATGTGAAGTCGGTACAGTACTGCTACTGAAAGTTAAACATAAATAATACTGTAGAATCTTATTCTTTAGAAACTAGGTATTTTGAAAAAACGATTTTAAATATTGCATACCGTGCTTAGAGCCATAAAGCTAGTGAGCTAAATATTAAATTTCTGAATGCCCCAGAAGAATGTCTACCAATATGGAGATAACTAATTTTGTTCGCCTATTTTACATTAAGTTTGGTAAAGAGACTAAAACCTATGAGCAGGGGGTATATTCACTTGGCTAACACAGAGAATCCCTGAACTCGTAATAGAACTAAAATAAGGAAATCGGAATAAAATTATGGCCTAACCCTAACCTGGTACACATTCGAGTACTGTCTGTGTTAGCCAAGTGAATATCCCCCCTGCCCATACGTTTCATTCCCTTTACACAACTTGAAAATAGGCGAACAAAATTAGTTACCTCCATATTGGTACACATAATTCTGGAGAGTCGAGAAAAGTACCACACTACCTCTATCAGCTAAAAAATCATGAATTTTCAAACCAGTTGCAAAAATTGTTACAGACCAAACTATTGCAACACTGGGCATCCTAATCACAGTGCTCATTTTTTTCCAAATAAACCTTGTATTCATCCCAAATTACAAGTACTTACATCCACTTCTCCACTGTCAATAATATAGAAGTTATCTCCTTCATCTCCTTGTTTAATGACTTCTTCTCCAGCAATATGTTGTGTTGGAAACATGGCATCAAATATGTCAGATCTCTCGTTTTCATCCAAATGAGCAAAGAGAACATTCCTTTCGATGGCTTTCGACAATGCTGATGTTGTTTTATAGTCTTTTGGTATGACCTTGATTAAATTGGAATCAGTGTTTTTAATGGTTGAAGATAGAAATACAGAATTTGCTCCAAACGGAATTGGAAATTAACGCAATTCAGGAAAGTTTTCACAGAATTCATTTGATCAAATTATATTTTTATTCAATATAATTTGCCCTTTAGCGATTCAATATTTGAAATAACAGAGAGATGGCCAAAACTGAATAATACACTTCTTCAAATACCTTCCGAAATATTATTTTCGAATAAAGAATATCATTATCCAAATTAGATCATATTCAACAGAGAGATTTGAGAAAATTATTGCAAAACCATGGAAATGAAAGTGGCAAATGCAGAATTGTTACGATTACAATTGCTTTGATTTAATGTTCCAGTTGTTATACAGCGCCAAAGTATATTTTTGCAACTACTAATCTCAAAACGATTCGAATATCTGTTTTGAAAGTCTCTGAGCTGTATATAGAATTCTAGTCATAGATTATGATTGAAAATTAATGAAAAATGATGTAAAATACCTTTTTAACATAGTTAGTGATGTCCTTCTCAGAGTAGACTTCAGCACTTACAGCTCCTCTTCGAGTTCTCGCTCCCGATGGATTAGACGGTGGTGTAACTGAAGGTTCTTCTTCCTGATTTTCATCACTTTGTGGACTGCTAGCAGCAAGTTTCGCAGCTTCCTCCTTGATTATGAACAGAATTGAGATTTGTGTTAGTTAGGCTATACTTCTTAAGAGGTTGAATGGTTAAAAATAGTTTGTGAAATTCCAATATTCAGAATAAAGACAAAAAGTGGTATATTATTTGTAACAAAAATAGGAATAATATAATGAATTTCAAAATGATACTTGAAATATCAAGTATATTTGGCATGTAATAATTTGGCTTAATTAACCAAGTTGAAATAGAGCATTGTATATTAAAATCATATTTGCAAAATACACATTACTATATCAGGATAGGAACAATGAACTTTATAATAACAAGTATGATCAACACATTGTTGACTTGCTACTTATATTTTAATAGCATGCAATTACAAGAGATATTTTGCACAATCAACTAAAATTAATTTGGATAAATAACAATGGAGCATTCTTGGTCAAGATTTTCAAGCTGGTCTTAGTGAGCTATTTAAAAACTAAATAACAAGGCGTTCACAATTAACCCTATTACAAGTACCGTATTACATTATATAATAATAAACCCTTTTCAGACAGACATGAAAGAGGTTACCAAGTAATACAAAATAAGCCCATGCCAAGACTTGCCCTATTACTATTGAAGATCGATTCATGAATTGACGTCATAACAGCTTATAATAAGTACACAAAATGATTGTAAAAAATATTGAATCAATAAAATGGTTACTGCAGGGCAAATAGTTTTGTTTGATGATATGGATTTGAAATTTCCTCATATTACTAATCTGGTACGTGCTATTAAAAGTGTTTTGAATAATTTCAAATACTACACTTAAAAATGGAATTTGGAATAAACAAAACATCCAACAGTCGGCCAAGTATGATACAAGACTAAAATCGTATTATCCAGGAATAGTTCTATTCACACTTCAGTAAGGAATCGAGACAAGAAATATAAAAAAAATGATATATTGGCTAATCAATTTGTCAACTGCAGTACCTTGGTGACTAATTATGATTTATCCATTAGTCATGTTCAAAAATCTGATAATAAACAATTCTGGGCATGATAGGAGTTTTACATCCATAAATTTTAAATTTTGTAAATACACTTCATGATTTAACTCCTAAACAAAAAAATGCTAAGAAATCTCATCAATTCCTTATACAAAAAGCCATAATTACAGTACAATTCTCTATTCAAGATTCTAATGAATTTCGTTCCAGGGCATTGATTTATTGACAGAAAAAACCATGCATTATTACTCATCCCTGACAATAGTAGAAATCTAAATGGCAAGGGATTTAGCAAAAATATTGATTCCAATTTGCTATATAGGCATAGTTGTTCAATTTTACAAAGGTGGGTATTTCAGATTACAATACGCTTGACATATATAAATGTATATAGGTAATATTACCTCACTGTATATCAAGTACTATTTCCTGGATAGAAATAACTACTGTACTATGACAGATAATGACGTAAATTGACTCTGTGTGGGTACTTTAATATGTTTTCCTACTTATGTTCAACTGCTTTTATAAACCATTTGTCTTACTATTCTAAATACACTATCTTATACTTATAGATATTACCTTTTCAAGTTTTTCAAAATGCTCTCGTAGAAATTGCATTGGCCTCTCTGGCTTGTGTATGCAAAGCTAAATAAAATGAAACATTAAAATAAATATATTTCTATAAAAAGTATTCAATTTCTAACATCGAATATATATGATACTATATTACAAATTGACTTGACATTCTAAAATTTTAAATACTATTCAACCAGTTTGTATATTTACCATATATTATTAAATAAAATTTGCCAGTTTAAAAAAAATGGAAACACTTTTACTTCAAATAGAAAGTTTAATTTCTACAAAATTTTAATGAATTAAATCATATGTATGTGAAAAGCTATTTCGTCTCACGATTAAATGATTGAAAACAAAGTTATAAATCATGACTGACTTGGACTATACATTCTTTTAATGTTTGTTGAATGCCATGAAGTTGAACATAGGCTTCACAATCCTTCAGGCTTTGATCTTCATCTGCTGACATCTTGAAATATTTATGACCTAGATGGTTAAACCTAGCAATTTAATCTAAACAAGTCAGATAAAAAAAAAGATAATAATATACTTTGATAGATAAATTTTGTATTATGGAAATTTTGATTTTCTTCGAAGCGCACATAATAATGATCAATATTTTAGAATACGGTAAATCTTATGCTGACAGATCCACACACTGAAGTAAAAATCAGATTCTGAGTTACTCGCCAACACTTCTATACAATTTCAATTTATATAAAGTAGTCACTTACTCGAGGAATAGATGAAATATTATCAAAAATCAACCTAATATACCGAAAAGCTTGTCCATTTGTCACAAAACTAGATTGATACAGTTCCCTATTTTTGATAATATTACAATTTCAAATTAAAAATTTCCTTGCTATAGGGCCTAGTTGATACTATAGTCCCATAAAGCACCAAAATTGGAAACTGGGTAATTCTTTGGAGTCACTTATAAATTGGTATGCCAAATATTGCAACAAAACCTTAGAGATAAACCTGGATAACACATATTAATAGCTTAGCCAGTTGGGTAAACGTTGTATTCATGATATTTTTGACTTGAATGGAATACAAAATTTCAAACCAAACTCTCCAATTCCAGGATGTCTCGATATTTGGTTCAATAAAACAAACAACTCTATTTGTCTCTGAAAAAGGGGTGTATGGCAAGACACCAGATTGTGATGCTTGCCTCGTAATAATCTGAATATATCGCAGCAGGTGTAGACCATCACACGACCAAAATTGCTTGTCTTTTTTTTTTGCTAAAAATTCGAATGCTGGGATAACATTTTTTTTCGTCGGTGAATCGAATTACCTTATTTTTTCAGACAAATCTAATGGTGACGTTTTTAGATTGCACTTTTTTTAGATTATTTCGCAAAGTTTAACGGGCGATTGCCAGAAAGCTAAGTTGGTTTTCAAAGATGTAAGATGAAGTCATAATTCTCGTAAATCTATATGAAGTTTAGCATGCCGCTAAAATTTCTTTAATCATGAAATGTAATTTTTGACTAAATTTGTCCAAGCGATTAGTAACTTTTTATCTAACATGCGATGCATTTCTGAAAGCTAAGCGAACAATCTTTCTTATAAAATACTATCACTGGTATAGCAAGTTCTGAAGTTACAGAATTAGGAGAGAATTTTTATAAAATATGATATACAGTTCAGTACAACTTACTACCTAATTCAGTAATTTGAATTTACTAATACTGCAACATACATATATCTGTATATGGGAACTTGCGACAAACAAATGCAAGGAGGAACGCTAGAAACCTTACTTAAAGTTTAGTTTGCTCTGATGATTCTATAATTAGTTTTTACTTATTTTCATCACTATTTTATCGTCTGATTACGGAGTCAAAATAATCTTACTATTACTGAATTATGAAGTTCATGGAAAGTTAGTGGCTCAATAGTCAGTGGGACATAAAGACATATCAAATCCCAAAACAACGTCAGATTTTATTCATAATAAAGAGTTCTATGCGAAGACAATTCTGCAATTAGAATTTATTTATTAATTTTGCCGACACCGTTTTCACCTAACGCATTACTCCACAGTTATTTCGGTATTTACCTCAATCAAGTTATTGGTTTGCTTCAGATGTAAACAAATCCCAATACCATATCCGCTTAAACGGTTTAATGTTGGAACTTACCATGCCTGCAGTCTGTTTATGTTACCATACATACAGACATAAGTTAGACGCCCGATGATACACGTTCGTGTTATTTTATCTTTCTCTATACATGTTTGTGTGTTAGGTGGGTAAACTGGCACATGTCATTTTACATGTTTTTAACTTTGTTAAAGGTTTTGCCAATTTTCCCAAACTTTTGTGTGTTCATTGTTTTGTGTATGATTTTTTCAGGGAAATCAAAATAAACTTATACTTATTATTATAACAAAGCTATAATGTTATTGCTATTCCCAAATGATAAATAAATTATATACAGATAGAAAGTTATACCATAGCAAATACATTTCAACTTCATACTGCTGTACTGTTGCTGTGTTATGAAAATCTTGCTTGCGTACAACATTTACTATATTATTTCTGTATTTCTATGCATTTATTTCCTGTAACATATGGTATTAAGGCACACAATTTCTGAACTGAATGAAATATATAATCTATGCACTTATACAGTAGTAAAAAAGCGTAAAAACTGCATAATGACTACCACAGCCACCGCCAAACAAATCGTGAAGATGACTGGGCAAAGCCTACGCAGTCTACAGCTTGCATAATTAAGGTGGGAGTGAACGGAATAGCTCTTTTCGGCCAATCAGATGCAAGTATGTGCTCCATTGACGTCAATAATAAGATCACACAATACACCGCTGACCGGTGGACGAGTTAGTTGAGCTCGCTGTAAATCGTGTGATTGTAATTTCATGGAGATCGCCTTCTCTTTTGGTGAAACTTATTCAACATTAGATATCGTACTTTCTAGAATCTGAACAACCACGTGAGCTTCATTCCGTTAAAGACGTGACGTGCTTCCATCGCCAACCTGGACCTGTTGCTGAGCACATGTATCACGGTTCCATTACATTTGAACCCACGTACATTTGAACCCATGACAATTGCACCTGTATGCTATTGCACCTATGGAATTTTTTTTGTTTCACGGATAGTTAAACCCATACTAAGCCTAACCCATGGGTTTTAGCACCCGCATATAGATTGAACCCGTGGATATACGCATGGGTTCAAATGTACGGTCACCATGTATCACAGCCTAATATGTGTGGAATGTGATAACCCGTTATTTCTGCAACTGCTAGACATCTTCTGAGTTCTCACTATTCGTCAGTACTTTATTTTTTATCATGCTGAGAATACACTTTGTGTGCAAACAATATAATGAAGACGTGAATATGGCATTTCAGGGTGAATATTTATGATCTTTTAAACTGCTGGTTACGATATATTCCCAAATCTGAAATTCGGGAATTTAATTATAAAAAACTGAAAATCAAAACAACGTCGTCGTCTACGATGTCAGATTTCCTTTAGACACGAACAGTTCCTAGCCGATGAAGTCCATGCATCTGAAACAAATAACTGGCTAACGAATCCCATAACAGACATGGAATGGTAACCGGACGAGAGGCCATGGTATCGGTACGCCCGGTATGTTAGTCGTTGGGTACGCCATATGATTAAATCGTCTTCCCCCAAAGGGGCTAAATCCTTATCGTTCGTTAATTTCAAATTGCTAAAGCGTCCCAAATTGCTGATATAGAGTAGACCAGCGGTCGGCAACCACCGGGCCGCGGCCCATCGCCAGTCCGCAGAAAGGTTACTGCCGGTCCGCAGAGAGGTCACACAAAAACAGACGGGACTGTAATAAAACCTCCACAATCTAACTACAAACCCTATGCGGCTAAAAACACCACCCAACAGCAAACACAACACTTTTGAGCATCATGTCTGACTTCACAAACAATTGTCATGTCAGTATGTCGCAATAATGCTGGATCAATTGTTTTCTCTACACCCGTATAACAATGTCTCTCATCGGTCGAACAAGATCTTTTAAACAAAATGATTCTCGCTAAAAACGTGACTACTTCACTACTGGCTCGTAGCTAACCAGTCATACCTAGTCAGTGCTAATTCTATACTTCAGAATCAGGATAATCATAAAGTTAGCACTTCGGGTAAAAAAATTAGTTTTGGAAAAACAAACCTCAATCAATGGCCAGACTAAGGTCGGAAGGTTTACATGCATTGTTACCTTTACCGAGATCTTATTAATGTTGTGAGTCCTGGTTTTCAATATTGACAATATATTCGATACAAAAACGAAATATATTCGATACAAAAACGAAATATCGAAGTAGGCGAGATGCAAGAAACACGTTACGTGTGTTAATGAGTTAATGGCCAACAAACACATACAGATATCGCATTAAATAGCATGGCCGTCGTTTTTAGTATATTGTCAACATAGATTTCCTAATGCGTATATTTTATTGCATTAGCTTAGTTCGTTTGTATAAAGGTGGTCCGCAAAAATTTGGGTCAGGCATTACCGGTCCGTCACTTGAAAAAGGTTGCCGACCACTGGAGTAGACCATATAATTCGGCCAGACCTTGCTCGCTGCTCTTCAGACACAACTATTAGGCCGCGAGACGAGGCCCTGAAAAACGCCTAGAAAGTGAGTTTCGTAGCGCACATCAGGTAACTACCTGAAAATGATTTTAAAATGTTCCTTAAAAATTTAGTAACAAATATTGCCTTGTTCCCACTTCCAAAAGTTGCACGTTTTACGGAAAAGACGCTTTTACTACAAGAAATATGTGCTACGATCTGTCCTATATTCTCTACATTTTCGGCATGGAACAATGACTTCTGCATGACGTAACAATTGAATTAGGCCAGCTGTTAGCGAGCGGATGAATATTAGTTATTACTGCTCGACCTTGCGCTGAGTTGGGCAGGCTTTCCATAGCCCTGTTTAGTTATTATTAGTTAAGTTATGCTAAGACGTTGTTGAAAAATGTATAAGTAAGTTATTAAACACCTGTAGATCCTTACCACGGATATGGGCCGTGAGACGAAGCCATGAAAACGCCCAGAAAATGAGTTTCGTAGCGCACATCTGGTACCGTAACTAAATAAATTCTTCAGTTTTGTGTGAAAACGAACATAATGAACGCATTACAGCTTGTTCCACAATCCTGGTGCGAAATTGAATATAAGAGGTTCCCGGAAATTCAATAACCATAAGTTCACAACACATACATAAGAACTATGCAATTCGAGAGCCCTACAGCACACTAACACAAATATATTCCTGTAATGTTTTGCCTGACCAAAATCGGACTTCCTCAGTCAATCATAATTTATTAGGTAGATTACGAAAAATATGGCAAACATGTAACCAACAACAAAAAATACTTTAATTGTGTGACAGGAGTTGGGAGTGAGCTCGAAAGCAGCGACACCAACAACGCTGATTCACATTTGCGAATAAATTTTATGTAATAACCACAAGCAGTTTACAACAAGAACAGCATAAAAAGCTACATCCATTTTATAGAGGCTATCAAACGTATTTATTTTTAAGCAATGAAGTCACAAATTAACATCGTGAGCACGAAAACACAAATAAATCAGTTATTTCTCACTTAGAAATTTACAGCAAAAGTCAAGAAAATTAAATGAATGTACAATATGTACATAAAATAGTGAACAGAAATATTACAATTTACAATTAATCTTTTTTTAGTTTATGTGGTTATGTATTTGAACAAAGGCAATAATATTTCTAGAAACAGGACTACGACACTAACAAATGTCCGAAAAAACAACAAATAAATGATACTTATTAAATCAACTGTAATATCTAATTCACTTTCTTCTGAATTGTTTTTGAAATCCACTATCTCAAAAATCGACTTTTCCTCTGTAAGTGTACTGTGATTTTTGCAGTCAATACAAAAACAAAAATCTGTGCAATTTAAGTTGATTTTGGCACACTTTCATAAATTATTTTGACTATTTTTCTTACACTTGCAGTTTGCCAACTCAAGAACTGATTTGAGGGCCACATGCTTCTTCAGTGAATCATTGTTGAGTGGAGAGTATAATCCTTATGTTTGACAGTGTTAAATAGACGTGCCCTGGTATCATTTACATTCTTCATATCCTCTTCAAATTCCTCAGCTTTATTTATTAATGCCTCGTTAACTCAAAAGATCTTCATAGTCGAGGGAAAAAAATGAATTGAAAATCTCAATGAAGTCTCCAACATGAATTTGATGGGCAGTTCCAATTGCAGAAAAGTGCTAAAGTATTTCAATATGAATAGCCCATCTAAGCTGTTTGCAACTATTATGATTCTCATATACCTTTAAGCTTCAAGACTTCTTGTTTAATCCATTTTATAGCACTGATAGCAGCAGGGATCAGAGCCTGCGTTAGGTCGGATTGGTGGAACATTGCCGTTTTCTTTTGTAGTACAGTACCGGTATCTAAAATGAGGAAGAAAATAATATTTGGAGCAGCATGAGTTTAAAAATACCCCTAAACACTAACTAATACCTTGAATACATAATGCATTTTATCTGATGTACTAAATGAGCGTATATATGCTCATTGCATGTACTACAGTCCAGCAGTGTTTGCATACCATTACTAGACTATATCTACACTAAATTTTGATATATCACAGTCTGAAATGTCCTATGACAGTATGAGTATGGACTATAGACTATATTTTAAAACATCAACTGTTTGTCTACAACTTGATTTCTCACCTCTCAATCGTTTCCAATGCTACCTTTCTTTCCACTCCGGCATAACTTATCATTACTTCCCAGGTTCATGTCGACTCTATGAATTTAGATTTAGACCAACCGACATTAGTGAAATTGAATAATTTCTTCTCTTTCACACAATCGTGCATTACAGAAACAGCCATTCATTTATATTTCCAAATATGCTGTGGCCTATATAGTAGTATAAGTCTGCTGAATAGTCAAGGAGAGTCATTAAATTAATCATAAACATTTCATGCAAGCCAGAAAATATCGTTGTTTATGACATATTATTCTAGGTCTAGCCTTCCTTGGAGTTACCGGTACCGCTCCGTACCTATTTAACAACGTCTTATGAGCTAGTGCTCAACTAATATTGCTATTTATGGTAAGGATATACAAGTGTTTAATATCTTACCCATACTTTTCAACACCTCCTTAGAATAACTGAACTAATATTACCGGTAACTGAAAAAAACTATGGAAAGGCTACTCAACGCAAAAGCGAGCAGTTGTAGTACATCTGATATTCATCCGACCACTGGGGATCCCCCTACAGCTGACTAACTTGACTGTTACGTCGTGCAGAAGTCTGCGTTCATTGGCCCATGATACCGGAAAAGCAGAGAAAATAGGACAGATGGTAACACATATTTATTGTAGTAAAAGCGTCTTTTCTGTAAAACGTGCAACTTTTGGAAGTGGGAACAAGGCAATATTTGTTACTAAATTTCTAAGGAACATTTTAAAATCATTTTCAGGTAGTTACCTGATGTGCGCTACGAAACTGAAAGATAAATGTCCTCGGCTCGCGGCCTATATTGGGCTCATTCAATGATGTATATATCCTCATTGGCGCATTATAGTAGGTTTATAGGCTGTAAAATTGGACTAAACTTGCGTTTGAACAATTTTCGCCTTGAAAATTAAAATGTTCTCACGCAGACCGATTTTCATTCATGATAGTGAACGTTCACTCCTTTTTGTAGTTATTTTTTAGTTTTATTTCAAATTTTCAAGTGTAAATCAGATAACTCCGCCCTCATTTTGTTCTCGGATGTGTTTTAGTTTATTAGTGGTAGTAGATGAAGTAGTTAGATGAAAAAATGGCTCCGAATACGGAATAGACCAAGCTATTGAAAATAGCTTCCAACACTTTTTAATGGCATACACTTGAATACTCTGTTCAAATTTGCATGTGTCAACATGCGACAATACTCTCGAGTTGAAAACTAAATTTAACAATTGTGAAGCACAGGATAATAAGGTCGGGGAAACATCAATCTGATCAGCTAAACAACTATGATGTAGTGAAGTACCATATAACTGAAGATCTTAAAAAACCTTACGAATAAGAATTCTTTTGTCTTCGAGGAATCTAGATCAGTGCTCTTTAATCTTTTTTGATATATATATATTCCATTTACCCGCTCAAGAACACTTATGGTACTGCGGGTATTTTCGGACGTTAATATTAAATTGATAACAACGAAAAAACGACTTTCTAAAACAGATTAATGATGAATGAACATCAGCAATTAGTTTTTCATGCCGAGGAAAAATTGACTTCCCCATTGTTTAATTCACCAATCAGTTTGATTGCATTTCGTCTTTTTTCAACACAACTGAGCATAATTTTTTTTTTATATGGAATATAAGAAGTTGCCAGTTGTTGAAATGTCGTAATGACAATTTGTTATACTCTGTAAATGTTAATGAATTTAATAGTCTCCATCATAGAGATATGATGCGGAATGCACTCTATGGGATAAACCGTGAAGCAAAGCTACTCCATTATTGCAAGTAGGCTAATAGTTTTGATAGAGCAAGACCAGAGCCAACATCATTTTCATTTAATGCTGGACTGGAGGGGTTCGATGTTGGAAAGAAAACTTGGTAGGTCTCAGAGCGCAAGTTTGGTATAATAATAAACTAGCCTCGGTTATCGTAGAATTTGACAGGTATCAATTTAATTCAATCGAATTTTATTTCAGTAGTTTGAGTATTGGACCAAAAATTATAAGTCTCCTACCTTGAAATGAGAAGTGTCCCGGGGTTAACATAACATATTATCAATGGGCCTCTTTAGACGGCGATTTTTATACGCCTTTTCACTTCGACTTTGGCTCTGTACAAGCAGTTACTTCCGGACCAGGCTTCTTCCTCTTTCAGTCATTGTCCACCAAATTTATTATATCCGAGATGAGGTTGTGAACATGTGGTTGAAACATAGAATTTTTACCCGTAATGCCAACATATCCGACCCTTTAACCAATAGACTAGGCCAGAGGGTGCAACATTTTTTGTCAATGGGAGATATAACCAACTTCAAACATCTAGATGGGCCACTCAAAAATGCGGAATGTAATAAAGCGTTACAGTAATAAAGACACCGGACAAAACGGCGAAAGATTTAACCCAGCGACAGGAGCGAAAAACATGTATTAATATTATACCTATGTGAACTCCAGCTTAGAATAATGTTCTTGATGAAGAAAAATTTGAATGGCTTGTCAGGTTGTTGCACACCCCTTGAATAGGTCCGCACTCATCTACAGGGGCGTAACGAGGAGTAGGGCGTTGATGGTATTCTCCCTTTTCAAATGTAAAAGAGCTTTTTTCTGTATCATATATAGCAATTTCCGCAGTTTGAAACGCTTTTAAACCCTTAAAATCCCCCCACCCTCAGAATAAATATAATAAAAAGGCGATTTTGGATGAATAAAGACTACGAAGACGTGAATGTAAACTATACTACCAAACATGCTCGGTTCATCTTCAGATTAAAGTTATTTTTTTCTGTACGCACTACTGCGGACAAATGGGATTATTTTGCCAGTCTTTGAATTTTTGCAGTCGCTCGGACATTTTTTCATTCGGACAGTTTGTAAGCTCAAACTTGCAAAAACACTCTCAAAATGTCAAGGGTCGGGGAACATCCGTCAACGGCCAGGCGTCGCTCGTCGATGTGAATTCAGCATTTAGGGTTTCAATCCATCCAAGCATGGCTAACACATACGGGGTTTACCCGAGCGACATCACACATCGGACAAGCAGTGTTTAGAGAAGTAATTTTGTTAGCGCTGCGTTGAATCATCAAATCTGGTATTAAATATTGAGCATTTTGTTTGTATGCTTCATTTCCATATAGTTCAGTTGTATACCTTAGTTGATTGTATTAAATTGAATCTGTAAAGAAATTGTGCAAATCATCGTGAAGCAAGTCCGACCGAAACATAATGGTGAGTTTATACCTATATTTCTGTTACAAGAATACCGGTATCTCCGTATTTGAATAATAATTGTAAGTATAGTGATAGCGGTAGAATGAATGCCTTTTCCATTTAAGATGGATATTTATATTTCATGCTATTATTATATTAGTGCTAAATTAGCCTATGGAGGCTATAAGAATTTGTGGTATTCTATATTTTCACATTGTATTTTGATAATATGTAATATTTCTATTTTCTTCAGCATGGGAGACTTAAAGTTAAAACAACAGCTGAGCAGGATGCGGAGAAGAAAAAAGAAAGGGAGAAGAAACTAAAACTATTTCAAAAAGCAACCAGTGTTGCCCATGAAAAGGTAAGAAGTTATACAGCATTTTTTTATATTACAGTCTCTATGACTTACATTGCAGTGATGTAATTCGTTGAGGCGTGACAGAATAATTTGTTTTCAAATTGTGAGAAACCATGCTGTCATTTTTCATTCCTTCTTTCTTTAAATAGATTGATACATATTAAAGCTCACGAGATCCAAAATTTTGAGTATTCGTGACCATATAAATAGGACTTCTGTTATCCAATGATACACAATTAGCTAATAATTGCATGAATTTATTGAAAAGATACATGAAAGCTTATTTTAGTAAAATTCGTTAACTGATTTTCGATATTTTCAGATTACAAAACAAGAGTATGATAGCACTGGATTACATGTCAGTCAACAAATACTCAGTTCAAATTCTGATTACTCGTCCATGTGGAATTATAGGAAAGCAGTATTCAACTCAATGAAAGACAAGTATTGATTATTTCAGTTTTTACTGTCGACTAATCAAATTTAGCTTTGAAGCATGAAGATGACACATTTCAATCTTTAATATCTCATATTCATATGTAATTTACTATTCATTTTATTGGATTTGAAAGCATAGAAGATATAAACATATTCGATACATTAGGCAGTATTCGATTGGATATTCCCTGAACTTGTCACTGGACAAAAAGCCATGGTTGGGCCATGATTTGATCATCACCTCTTGACATTACCTAACCTTTTCTGAATATACCCAAAATATCCTATTCTGACCCTATTTGATAATTCAAACAGCAACAGGAAAGTTCATATACCCAATATGCAGATATAGGATTGCCTTATTAGAACGTGCCATATCGATGCTTCTTATAACATTTATGTGATATATTTGTTTCCTACTTGCGAAAAAATTCTTAAACTTTCACAGAGAAGCGGAAGAACTGCAAAAGCTGTGTAATGATGAACTTGAATTTTTAGCGTCATGTCTAAGGAATAATCCAAAATCGTATGGTTGTTGGCATCATAGGTATAATAGTTTGTTATTTTTATGAGCTTTAAAAATATATTTGTATGAGAGAATAGAATTACATATATTGGTGGGTGGCTTATTGGTGATCATGATGGACGTAGCTGCCATACATTGTTGGATTATAAATGTCAAGCTCCATTGCCTTACTCAGAATAGTTTGAGATCTCCAGTCTCTCTCGAAATGTATTTGCATTGGCTACCGGTCCAAGCTATTTTAGGGTTGAAATCCTTCTGTATTAAATACTTGTCCCAGAGGTGAAAGTTGCCAACAGAACAGAAAGTTGGTGGCAACAGAACAGGCCTAAGTCACAAATTTGAGTTTTGACAAAATCGTGAAAAACAAATTTGAGTTTCGTCATTCTTCAATATCTAGATATGTACGCTTAGATTAATAGGTCTGGTGTTTTTAGATGCTTCATCATGCTATACATGCCTCATCCAGATTGGAAAAAAGAGTTGGATCTTTGTAATCAGTTCTTACAGTTTGATGACAGAAATTGTAAGTAAAGTTTTAGTGCGTTTTAACGGTATGTTTGCCTTACACTAAAAATTTCATTTTAATTTTAAACAGTTCATTGTTGGGACTACAGGCGTTTTGTTGTCAAGAATTCTGTTCCCAATGTTTCAGTAGATGACGAAATTAAATGTACGGATAAACTTGTGGAAAACAACTTCTCTAATTATTCTTCATGGCATTATAGAAGTAAATTATTACCGATTCGTTACCCAAGCTCAAAAAATCCAGATCGAATTGCGGAAGATAAATTACTTCAAGGTAAATTTGTCACTTCCACATGTATTATCATAAAGAATGTTTTTTTATTAATTGTGATAATTGACACGTACTGCACAATTATAGTTCTTTATGATTTCAGTAGCTCTTAGTATTTTTTTGCTGTTCCTCAATGCAGGGGTTTGCAACTTTTAATACAGAAGGGTCAGATACAAATAACTGGGTGAAAGCGCAGTCTGCACAGTTATTCAACATAGGCTTTTTAGTAGTTGCAGGCACAAAAATTATGGTTAATGATCGTATGACATGCATTGTTCGTTCCGCACAGGTTCTTGCAGCGCAAAGGAATGGGAATTATTCACACATACAAGATTGAACTAAATTAAAAATTCGTGAGCACACCATTCAAAATTGCACTTCTCCATTGGGCCGCACAATTTTCATTTGTGGGCCGCATTTGGTCCGAGAGCCTTTCTCAGTGAATGAGCGTAACATTGTCTATTTGGTGTACATGAATTTTGATTCCGTAATTTTACTTTACAACTTTACTGTGAGTTTAGAATACCGATCTATATGAATATTAAGCTGCAAAACATGAGTAAAATGAAAAAATAATGTTTATTTATTTTTTACAGAGCTGGAATTTGTGCAAAATGCTTTTTTTACTGATCCAAATGACCAAAGTGCTTGGTTTTATCATAGATGGCTTCTTGGAAGAGGTCTGTATCAAGTTTGTTATTATTATGGTTTCCTTTTTGCATCTTAAATTCAGTAATAATGCATATATTCCATGTTTCCCTAGGACAAACTATGCAAGGAATAATAGCAGTTCATGTACAAAAAGCAACATCTTCAGTAACTTGCATCTTTAGAAAACCAATTAATGTGAGCATAAAAGTTTAATAAATACTTGATTTTAAAAAAATGAGCAATAATCAAAACAGTATAATATATCTGCTGTATGTCTATTCAGATAACAGATATTAAAGTTAAGTGTTCTGTTGTCATTGATGATATTACACAGAGCGGATCGTGGAATTCGTTATCAGGAAATGGTTATCAACATGCATGGGTAGGTTGTTTGTGAAAATTTTGTTTTACTTTTTCAAAATCGAGTTTTGTGATATAAAACTTGCAAAAAATAGCAGCATACTATGATATAATTGTTAAAATTTTACACCGATTCATATCACAAAAACTTGATTTGAGAAAATCCAACCCCCCATTTTCACGAAACCAAAACTAAAAAAGTATTAAGGTGATTTTCTCAATGGACATCGAAAACTATCAGGTAAATGTTTTATTTTTGTTACATTGTATCATGATTTTTAGGTATTAAATTAATTTTTTTCATATTTTTAGATCTTTAAATGCTCGAATGACCTCACCGATAAAAGTTGTGATATTGTTGTAAAATGTAGTGATGAATCTTTTTCAACAAGTTTCAAAGATACGGATTCTTTCTCCTCTAATACGATTACAGTAAAAGATGAATTCCGCCAGGAACTGAGTAGCGCGAAACTTGAACTCCTTGAATCTGAATTAGAATCTTGTACTCAATTGAATGATTTAGAGCCTGGAAACAAATGTAAGATTGATAATTGATTGTTTGGTCTTTAAATCATAAGCAGTATTGTGATCGAACCCAGGAATCCAACAAAGATAAATTACACAGTTGCATATTTTTACTTTCAATAAAATTCAACCTTATTCTTGTAATATGCCACACACTCTGAGATCTGATATGATAAAACTTTAGAAAGTCGTGTTGAATAAAACATGGTTCTATTACTGTAGATAACAGACAATGCTGGGATATTTAACATTGCCAAACAATAGGGAGTAAGAAAATCTGATTTGGAAGCACCAGCTGGAATGTTTAGTCTTACTATATGGGAAATTGGCAGCTGATAATATGTCATATTTATCAAGGGATAGTAATTCGTAACCATATAATTCTATTCATTTCTTATAGAATTCTTAGTATGTTCTTTACTTAGTTTTCCATGTTTTCAACACTTCCTGGGCAAAACGCATCATCCCTACGCATAACACCAACATCAAAGGCCACCTACATCCAAACAAACATTGTCATATTTGTGATTTAGTTTATTTTTATGTTTTCAACAATAGGGGCTGTACTTACTCTTGTGCTGTTAATGCGAGCTATCGGTCCCCAAAAATATCAAGTTGAAACAGATAAGTATTTGACTGATTTACAATCTATTGATGACAAAAGAAAAGAATATTATGCAGATCTTCGCAGCAAATATGTCATTGAAGATTGCATTAATGGTCTTACTCAGAAGCAGTCATCAGTTGATCTTTCTAAAAAGGTTGGTGAGAGCAATAAGTGACCTCAGCTGTTTTGTTCAAGAAAACTTTTATTATATTATTATTAGTAGAGATTCTTATTACTTATCGATTTTAATCGGTAAGTATGTTGATAGGTATTTATCTGTTTGTCTGTCTGTTAGATGTACGCGATATCTCACGAAAGCGAGATTGGATCTGCTGCAGATTTTGCATGTGTATTCATCATATCTCGTACCAGAAGCCTATTCATTTTGGGCGAATTATGTCATATAATTAGCGAGTTATCAATTAATTAGTGATGGGACACAAGGTGTCACTATGGAGTAAGATCGCTGTTTTGGGGGATCCCCTAACTTTCGATCGATAAGATTTCGGTCACTGACCTCATCCTCGTTAGTAGAATAACTGCATTATCAGAATTTAGTATTAATCATGTTGAACAGCAGAATTTGAATATGTAATTATTTGTGCTGGTGCATTCCTAGCCGTCTTTGGCATATTATAAATACTGGCTTTGCGGTGTGGCGCATCGTGCTAAGCGTTAGGAATCCGCTCACCATCACAACTCTGATAACCCTGTGTGGGTTTGAATCTTGTATGGGATAATTATGTGTGAGAGGATTTCTGGACTTCTCCGTAGGTCATTTACGGCTTTCTCGATCATCAAGGCCATACATCTGGAACAAATTTAATGGCTATCTAATCTCATACCCGACATGGACTGGTAATCGGACGAGAGGGCGTGGCATTATTTTCATCTTTTTATGAATATTTGAAATTAATTATAACAGTTCTGGAATATTTTCTGTCAAACCATTTCAGTATTTGAATTGCATCTCAAATTGCTTCTACAATTGTAGCCAGTATTTAACTTAACATTTTCTTTTTCCGCTATTTGCAGATTCTTTCAAGAGTATGCCATTTGCAATATTTTTCTGGGATAACAATATTTAATATATCGAGCAACCAGTTACGGAAGTTAAATGGTCCATTTCATTTACTTATTTGTTGTGAAGTAAGTCCTGTTGCGTTTCATTTGTGGTTAATATTGATAAAGGAATTCTTGAATAGAAATGTATTTTTTTCTTTTCAGTCAATTATTGCTGATGACAATAAAATTGATGATATATCCGGAATCAAGAATATGCAAAGACTTGTTACGATCTCATTAAGTGGAAATTGTATCCTTTGTAAAATTTTACTGTTATGTTATCATATAATTAGCATAACGGGCTATAAAATGTTAGATAAAAATGAAGAAAATAAGTGTTTACCCAATGCGGGAGCACACAAAATTGAAATAGGTTCAAAATGAATAAAACCCTAATGAGAAGTTGATATTAAAATTACACTCATCTAAAAATATAATTTATTTAATTCATTGAAATTTTGCATATAAAGGGACATAGCACACTTGCTGTACTTCGATTCATACCTGGCAAAGTTAGACTTTGTTCTACTGGTTAAAATGTGGGTGTTGTGAATGACATTCTGCCATTTCGTTTATGGGAATGTTCACTTCGCATGTTATTCTTAGGTCTTAAATTTCCCAAATTTCATAACATGGAAGCTAAGGTTGTAGTGTTTTATCTTATGAATGAAAATCTGCAGAGATGCAGAGAAACAATTGCTAATTACCGACTCGATTTGGCTCATTTGGATATAGTTCATTGGTGTAGTATACTTGAATGTGTATAAATCATAGTGTTGGTTTATTAGTAACCGGGCTCGGCGGTTTGGCGAATCGTGCTAAGTGTTAGAAATACACTCGCCGCCACACCTCTGATTACCCTGCGTGGGTTAGCATGTTCATATCCCATGCGGGGATAGTTATGTGCGAGCGGATTAGTGGACTCTATGCTGCCTGATGGTGGTTCACGTAACCGCTGGCTAACTAATCCCATACCTGACATGTACTGGTAACCGGATGAGAGGCCTTGGATCGCCATATGATTAAGCTGTCTTATCATTTATCCTCTCTGCCAGGAAAAATATGTAAATCCTATAAGCACAAATGCGAGTAAGAAAGTTCTCTGCTTTCCTTAACTGCAGTTTTTATTAGCTTTATGTCAAGCATCCAGCTTACAAGTGCTCTCATCCTGTCCTAAATTGAAGAATTTAAACTTGCAAAACAACAAGTTTCAAGATGAAGCAGAAACCGTTCAAAAAGTTCTTACTGATGTCAATATTCAATTGTGACACATGATATTCGTGCAATGTTTACTATTTGTTAATTTTATAAATCATATCATGTGTTAAAATGTCTTTTGTGTTCATTCTATCAATTGAAATGCCAAAGTTAAATATTTGATGGGGGCCTGATATTCGACAGTTTGAACATGGGGCCATCTACTGGGGTCTGGATCTAGCTAGTCTAGTGTTGTTTTTTGAGCTGACATACATAGCTGCCAGGTATCTTCAACTTTGCATTGGGTTGTTATGAGCAAAAGGAAGAAAATTCCCCCACGAAGATGTAAGCTGGAGCGTTAAGAATACACTCGCTATCTCACCTCTTAATTACCCCGCTTGGGTTACGAGTCCAGTGTGGGTTAATTATGTGCGAGAAGATTGCTGGACTCCTAGCCGACGTAGGGTGGTTCACGTAACCACTGGTCGGTTACGGCTTCCTCTACCATGCAACTAAAACAAATACGGTATCTGGCTATCTAATCCCATTTGTACCTACGGTACTGGTAACCGGGCACGAGGCCGTGGTTCGCCATATGATTAATTAAGCCGCCATATCGGCTATCCTCCCATCCGGGATAAATAAATATGTAAATACGATCCTAATCTTCGACAGTTGGCGCGTCCTAAGCGTTAGGAACACCCATGCCATCGTACCTTGAATAATTACCCAGTGTGGCTCGAATCCCGCGGTGGTATAGTTAGAACGAATAACTAAAGAATGTGGTCGAAGTTTGACATATGATGGACCTTTCCCCGAACATCGACTTCCTTGTTTACTTCGTGACATTGGCCAATCAGCAAGATGTAAAAAGTGACGTAACAATGCCCCCTTTTCGCATCCGCTCAGACACTTTTCTCACTCAGACAGATTTTCAAGCGGGGTTGTAAACATTACCTCGTTTTCGCGTTTTTGAACTCTATTCGTTAGTTTTCAGTTGTGTTTCGGAAACTTAAATAAAAATCAGATAATTCAATGATCACTCTGTCTTTCTAGGAGTTTTAAATAAATTGCAGTAATAAAAATTAGTGTAGAAATAGCTGTGATAGACTAGCCTGAAATGCAATGAATCATAGTGATGGTTTGAAAGACATACCCAAGATTTTACAGGCGCCAACTCGCAAAAGCACTCTTAATATAGCCCCGAAAATTTTGCAACGGTAAAGTATAGGAAGAATTTTCCGGGGGTCAAAGGTCGGGGAAAGGTCCATTGAGCTTTCTCGTCGACTTTTCTCTCCTCTGGGATTAATATGAGAATCTTCATTATAAATTTGTTGTAGATACAAATAGCATACTGCAAAAAGTTTTGTTCGACTTTTTTTCAAATTTCCATCACCTCTATTCAAATGAAATAACTTATTGTGGATTTTCTTCAGTATCTTGTTGCACTCGAATGCTCTGCAATAATCAGAGGCAATGCATCCGAGATTACTTCTCACCTGGTTTGCGCTTCATTGTGGCATAGTAATTGTGTGAAGCGGGTTTAGTTTTCATTATGCCAATTGATTTAATCATATATTTATCACAGAATTCGACTTTTGGAGAGTTCCACCCCGCTAGAGGCGTAGTAGGTTTGCTTCTTGATATATTTGAACGTACACCTTTTTCAAGACGCTCCATTCGTATCACTCAATGGTATCATGCGATATTTGTTTTCTGGTCTTGGGGTATGTAATTACAGTGACTTATTAACATTAAGCGGTTGTTAATTAGTTCCCCTGGCGTATCTATCATTTCATTTAACAGCGCAAATAAAACAGCCGTTCTTTTGAAATGTCCCCAGTTACAATATCCAGATTAACAATAATAAGGCAGAAAATTGAAAATGCTCCCAGGTGTGTTTGTTTGATACTATCTGACCTCACCTACATTGGAATTTTATGCTGCTAAGTGACAAAGATTGCGTTGCAGTTCATTGAAAACTAGATTTACTTCTTTATTAATTCTTATTTCAGCTCGGGTGACGAGGTCGACAAAGCTACCACAGCTCCTTTTTACTCGAGTCTTATTATCATATAACGAAACGACAATCCACGTGTCCTCTTTTCATAGTACGTGACTTTTTCGTTCTATTCTTGAAACGGGACAAGACAAGTACATTAGTCTTTGGATTTTTCGCGCCGTTTTATCGGATAAACATTGTGTTACTTCGCATAAAGATTTTCTTCTTGTTTGAACTAATGTCCGCGATGTTTACGATTCCTGAGTGGATTATATTATGTCGCTTTTTATGACCCTTTAGTTTAAACAAAACCGAGAAGAATCGCAAAGGCGCACGTGTTTCTGTTTGATGAGAAACAATACGGGCTTTCCAAACTTTGTCAATAGTCGCAACTTGTAGTGCTGTAAAATATGACATGATTACAGAATTTTTTGAGCCTCATTTCATTGTATATTCAAATGAGATAGCACAACACACATCGCATATAATAGGTCTAATCTTTTTCCCTTTATTGTGTCCCATCTGACATCAAAGTAAATACCGTTCTGCGCAGTCTTCTAATGTCAAGACTTCGTGGTAACGACTAACCGAACCAAGGGAGTTATTATGCTGTTGACTTTTCATTACCTATCTGAAGTGCAGTTATCGTCGATATCGATCTTCTGTCCTGTTTCTAATATTCTGAAACAACGAAGCTTGCTTGATTTATCTTTAACCAAACCTATTCGACAATATGCTAAGTAATAATGTCAGAAAGATATAGGCCCATTGACTTCTAATATTGCACCTATGGGAAAATTTGGAACAGTAGCAGATGTTGTATGGGAACGCGGATTGTTACATAACATACTGTAATTAGTTTTATTCCATTGGCCGACGGCTAACTGAAGAAATTTTTTCTAAATAAAAAAAATTGCGGCCCGTAATGAGTTATTGATTTTCATTTCTAATTTAAAATTTGTTGTGTATTTTAAGGTTCCTCGAGAATTATTATACTGAATTCTTTGTTTTATTCAAAAGACTGAAAATTATCAATTTTTTAATTTAGAAAGTCGTTTTTCTCAGTTGTTTTTCGTTTTCTCAGTCGTTAATTTGGACAACGTAATCACGTGGTCTATTTTTAAAAACCTGTAAAATTAGTTTCTCTGTTTTCTCGGACAAAATCGTTATTGCAGTGGGTAGGCTACATCACCAACATTAGGGCATAGCATTAGTATACTGTTTGAAATAATTAATTGACGTGACACTGCGTGTGCACCATGGACGATAGTTTTCGCCTGCATTCTACGTTTAGAGCCGAGTTTGGTCCTCCGTGAACTAGCTAACAAACTATATTGATCTCTCTACTCCCACATAACAAAGTAAATCCCCCAATAAATCCACATTATGCGATTAATATCCAGCGTTCGAGGTAAAGAACTTCATCGACCGAGAAAGAAAAAGAAAACAACGCTGCCGGTATACGAACTTCTGTGACTGTGATAAGCAACAAATGCTATAAAAGTACATTTTTGTGATATCGAGTTTAAATTTATCTTTGAGATTAAGCAGAATGGTGTATATTATATATATCAGTAACAGTGTTGCTCAGAACTGAGTCTTTAGCATTTAACGTTATCAAAAGCACTGCTGCTTATCTCATAGGCGTTTACGATCGGGACTTGGTGTTACTCTAAAAGTGCTTTGCTGAAATCAGAATCTAGAAATCAATTCATGTCAAGCATTTGTCAAAGGTTTTTTAAAAACGAAAACATGTCGACTACCGAGTAGAAGAGGTCAACGCATTTGGTAATTTGCTTGTATACAATAAAAGGTGTTCAATTGAAAAGAGAAACAAACAAAATTTAGTTTAAACATTGTCTCAAAACCACTCCCGTTATCGAATTTGTTCAATTGAAATGCCCATAAAAAGAACGTTGTTTCGTCAATTTAATTGAAGTATGAAATAGAAATTCTATCTGGTCGCATTTTCTCGGTACCGGTAAGCTAATTGTGTGTAAAATTAATCTAAAGTGGCTGTCGTGCGAGGCATACAATAGAAACCAATAACGTTTATGTACGTTTAGATCACGACCCACTCACTGGCCCGAGATAAAAAGGAGTCTGATAGATGTGTTGAATACACCTTGTGATCGCATAACGGCTTCTTTGTGCTTGTGAGAATCTATAGGCTGCTATGGAAAGTGTTGCTATATTTACTATTCTCAGTTATTTATTTAGTCGTTTGTCACTGTCATGTTAAGAAAGGTAAGATGACTTATTAACACGAAGCGTGAATGTTAGCGTTTATTTTATGTTTTGAGGAATAATATCGAATTGTAAAACTCGTACCTGATAATATTTCAAACGAACTACACAGAGCTTACGAAAAATAGATATTTATTTTTTTGATAACCACCATTCGTTTCTTGGTGTTGTCTTATAGAACCGAATAAGCAGAATTGTTTTTCTTCGGCGTAGATGGCCATTTATTGGCCTGAGGAGGTACGTTTTTCAGTCTCTGATTCTAGAATAACACTCTGTGTTATATTTAAATCGAGCCAATGAGAACATTTTATGACGAATATGTTTTCAATAAATGGAATCTATTGATTCACTCTATATTATTAATGTAAGCCCCGCCCTGAGCATTGGGACTTTTTCTGTCACGCTTCTCCGGATATCCGTTACCGATCTTATAGCTGATCGAGTATGAAGTATATTAAAATTAAAGATTAAATACGCTACACCATTGTACAATCAGGCCTAGTATGTACAGAATGATTAGAGCCCCATGAAGGGGATAACGTCTATATGAATGGAACACCCGATGGGGGCAATTATGCGCACCCAAGCGAATATATTACTGGTTTCGACCCCATTCATGCTCATGAGATCATAAAGCTACTCTCAGTAAGGACAAGTAAATAATAATGAGGGAACGTGTAGTAAAAGAGGGTATGTATGCTATTTTATTTTGTATTCACAAAAACATACCAAGTACCCGTTCTGATTCCCAGTTGTATAATATTGTAATTATAAGTGAGCTGGCGATAGAAGGTAGCAATTTTTGCTTTATTATTAATAGTACAACGCGGTGTGGTTTTTGAGAAAGTGATCTCAAATGAGTGGGATCAGGGATCAAAATAAAATACCCCGACAGAAATTGCGCTTGAGGAAACAACATCTACTTTTATAATATTTATAGCGTCACCTGGAATCGTTTAATAATTTAACGTGCTAAATCAAGCTTCATGTTTGTAAGTAATTACTTCGCCACGTAGTTTCAAAATTCGGATTTGAAGATGACGAAACGTGTACGTATGCTGTGCATCTACATCACCGCGCCAGATATGCGCGGTATATCTGGCGACCATGCTCGAAAAATGATAATACCCTACTCGATTTAACGGGCCTACCAGTGAGGTGAAATTCCGATGGGATTTAAACGAGTTCATTAAAATTTCATGAACAAAGATTAATAGCAACCTTGATTTGGTTCGTCGCGCAGTAATTCGACAATATGTCATTAGGGGAAGAAAAGTCAATGTGAAACGGGTCCAGATTTTGATTGACCAAAATTGCTAAAAGGAGGTAACGCCATGCTGTAACACGCATATCGTAGAGCCGGCTGACGATGAAAACATGTGAGATAATCTCGGACAAAAAATTGTTGACAGAGATTTACTTCCTATCGAAGACAACTTCATCAATTGTGAGGAACTCAATGCTTTGTCGCCAAAAAGTGTTAGGCCAGAAAATGAGATAATAGAGGAGAGACCAATTAATGAGACTATATGAGTATCAACGAGATTATAGAGTTAGCCAAATCTTTCAATGAATTTAGTATTGCTGACGTTGGAAATAAACATCCCAATTGTGATTTTTGTTAACTTGGAAACCATTCGTTCGTGTCTATAGAAAATGCAATGAAATTTGCGATTTAAGAGAGATGTTTCAATTCTTTGTTTGTGCGTGGAATTTACGTGCCAGTTGGGTTACGTTATCCGCAAAATGGCGTCAAATAAATTTGCCTTAGTGATAAGTACCAGTCCCGCAGAAACCCATTCGATAGCAAAATAAATTTGCACCTTTCATGTTAAAAAATTTCGTCATCCAAGTAACTGTCGTTGAATTTATTATTATCACGTTATTGAAGTTCACTCTCAGCAATATTTATTTCCGTTAGGATTTTTAACCGCATAGTATTTGTTTGAATAGTGAGGCAAAATACAACAAAAGAACAGTGCAATTTTGATACTATCGTTATCAGTCTCTCAATGACATTGAAAATATTTACAAATTTGATTACGGGGCGTCGGTAAGGTGATAAAAAATTAGGTTTTTGCCAGTATCGTTTTTACACATATTGGTCTTGTGTATTGACCCATTGACTGGCGCCAGTTTTTGTTTGCATGGAATACGAGGGTATTCCTTTTTTTCTTCCTTTGTCTTTGTATTCTGTTACTAAGTAGAATTATATTAGAACCCCTATTGAGTTTTGTCTTGAACATTCTGTGAACAAATAAACACACCGTGTTTTAACACGGGCAGTACAAAATCGTGCATGGTATATCGTGATTTTATCTGCGGTTCGTGATTGAACGATTTCAAAACAAAATCCTCTTATTTCACTATAGACGTGGGACAATTTATACAGTTTAGCGATCAGCGACGTGGAATTTTGTACAGGCGACTCGCTTCGTTAATCTCCCTTGTTAGTTTTCAAAAAACAGAACAGAGATTCTGCGTCATGCTCACTGGTGCGCGTCTGTGATAAATACTAGGTGCGAAAGAACGAACGTGTCCGTGATTTGTGAAGGCAAAAGTGCAGTATGGAAATTAAATTTGATGTAAAGTCATTGGCGCTAGAACTTGAAGAATTAATAAGTATAGGCTGTCTATAAAAACAGGTCCGACGTGAGCACGAAATTGTGCCGAGTCGAATAAGAACGAGAGTTTATGTGTTTGTATGTGATAATAGCAATTGTTTACTCAGACTACAGATTCCCAACTTTCTCCAGTTCGTATGAATGAAAAAATAGGACAATTTATTACTATTATTAGTCTATTGCAGCATTACATGAAAAGTGAGATAGATAGTGTTAGAGCTTCAACAATATATTTTTATTCGAGTTACGGTGTTCACATATATTGTCTCGGTTCACAAAACCAGTTGTAACAACTTAAATTATATTACCAACTTGCTACTGAATGCTGGTTAAAAATTTATTACTCAGTATATATATATTATTGTAACAATTGACCCATTTTCTTTGAAAATCACAATCAATTTGCGAGGAATAAAATTAGGGAAATAATTCGTATAGACTACAGAAGAAATAGTCTAGATATGAAAAATACATAGTATTTTTTATATCTTTTAAATCGATAATCATGTAGTCGACAATATTGACGCTGCTACTCATTTTAATAATATTGGATTTTAAGTAAAGATTATGCATAATATGAATATCTTGCATACTTCACATTCTTGCATAATAACCTAATGAAAAACTGCTGCTAGGCATTCATGGCAAAATGTCGTTCATTCCAAAAATAGAAATTTAGGAATTTTCATCTACGGTTTGAAGCTTGAATGAGACAATGAATTAGTACTCTATTCAATACAAGAACAAAGGGTAAATGAGGGTACGACTAAAGGTGAAAGTGCACGGTTTTTAAACACGTGATGTCATACGAATGTTTTGTTTTGACTGATGATCAACGGTTTATTATGACGACTATAGCCTGGAGCTATATACAGCGGCCTAAACTCTAACTGTATACTATTGCACCGTAGATCATAATTTTTATTGCTCGCCCGTCAGTCGTTCGTGTCGCATCCGATAAATTGTATTAGATGTGTTTATTAAATTGACTGGATCGTTTGCTTTTACTATGATCTTACTAGGTCTGTCGTTACATCTCAGTTTTGTACTATTAAACACAGTGGTGCTAAAACTCCGACCGTTCCAGTTGACGATATCCGTGTTGTACGAGGTCGTAAAATCTAGTTCTCTATTGTGTAATGAAATAAAATCGTCGACAGGGGATTGGATTAAAGGGCAGTTATATATTGGATTAAACATTTACTGCTATTATTCGAGAACTTTTGTGTCATAGCGTCAGATCGATAAGTCGTCGTTCAGTCACATTCAGTAATATGCAGCACTCTGTTTGAAACAGTATCATATGCATATATGTGCTATAAAAGCCTAGTTCAAAAAGTATATGGTGTAAAGCTAACTTGAATATTTAAATTAGTCAGAAGCTGCTAATGCCAAACTAATAACTTTTCAACAGTTGTAAGAGTCTGGTACGCTCCAAACGGACTAAATTAACTTTCTAAATTGAATGCTCGGGTGTTCAATATGTTCAATTCATTGTATCGGATTTTAGCATCTCTATAATTGCCGGGTATTTGGAACTTGGTTTGGTTAACAAAAGTGCCACGCGTATAATAGCTATTTCGCATTGGAGGAAGTGGTTATTAAACTGATTTGTCGTTCATTTATGCGAAGGATTTATAGAAGTGTTATCTGAATAGGCAGCTGGTAGGAAAGACATGACCGAGTATGCCTATTTTGCAGCATTACTCCGCGGATATTGGTGTTTTTGATGAAGACTGAATTGTTTAGATTGCTCTTATATTTGCAGATACGTTCGAGTAAAAGGTATCATCTTCCTAGTTATTATTTTACCGGATGACGTAATAAAAAAATGTCGTCATTCCCATTTGAGCTGGATGTGGAATCCGAATTGTCAATGTCCGATATTCATCAGTCAATTGAACTCAGCTTGAATAATATCAGAGAACGACATGAACAGGTAAAAATATTTTCATTGGTAAAAGAAACACGGCATTTTTATTAATATTAGGTCACGAGGAATTACATATATTTTTGGTATTCACTGGTTTTTCATAAGTTTCGACGTTAATTTTACAAAATTTCTATATACGTATATTTAATATATTTGTTGCGGGAAGGAGTTACAGTTATTTGGAAGATATAAAAAATTTCAGAACAGATGTTTTTGCGGGCCCGGCGGCATTTTAAAAACGAAATTGGATAGTCCCAATGGGGACTATTTCGATTGTATTACTTCGCAACTGAAAACGTTTCCTCGATTTCCCTTTTGTTTTAAATTTAATCGTTGTCGATTTCTCTGTGGCGCCACTGTCACGCCCCATATGGTTTTTACATTGGATTAAATTTAAATATAATAATACTATATGCTAACATCTTTTGGTCCGTTCGATTTTTAATCGGAATTTGAATCTCATAATACATTGAAAATAATATACCTTGTCACCTGTAAATAACATGAGATATTCTTGAATTGAGACATGAATTGAGATATTCTCTGATTAGTGCATGGTATGGTTAACTTGGGCGAAATAGTTAGAATATTTGGTCGAAATTACCATTTAAACGGCTTCTCCGTAGATCTCTGTTAAGATGTCATGAAGACAATTTATATTATGTGCATTACACATATTTCAAGGATCAATGGAGGTTATATCATTTAAGTTTTATCATTCAAGAGTCAATCGAAGTTCTTATAATCAATTTTAATTGCAATTTTCAAAGCTTCTTTGGGCTTTACGAATGTACCTCATTACTTCGCGAAGTGGGTAATTATAAATATGACGACGCCCTTTGCAATAATATTAAACAATATTTCCTGCATAAAAAATCTACTAATCCATACTTGACGATGGGCGATTAAAATTCTTCATCCTGGTAATCTAAAACATAATTGAATGTTCCGCGTGAGAAACTAGAAATTACGTATTGATCGATTTTGTAATTCGAAAAATGTTCCCAAATTGGGAACTTGCAATCTTGTGGACTAGAACCGGTGAATTCAAATATAATAACGGGCATCACCTTCATATGTTAGAATATATCTGTGCCGGCGTGGTTGTAGATTAAAAATTATTTCTTATTTTTGGATACCATTTTCAACTTTTATACCCTTTTTTCATTAAACCTGAATTTGCGACAAAAAATGACTCGTCCAAATGATAACTGTCATGGGCTGCGTAGTATTCCTGCGTTTTCGTTATTTCATTATCCATTTTTTACTTTTGCTACAGGTCGACGCAGTATTGGGAGATCTTCCTTACTTGAAGCGAACAACTGAAAATGTTCTTATCCCGATTAATGCAAAAGCAGGGATTCCACGAGTTGCAACAATTGCACATTTGAAAATGCTTCTTGCGAGTTGTGCTCGACCTTCACCACCAAGTACAGCATCAAAAAGGAGAGTACCCACGCCCCCAACAAAACTCCGCCCATTTAGTCGGGCGAAATCTGACGGTAGGATAAACTTGAATGAAGGAAAAGCCGTCACGCTACCGCCTGTGAAACCCAAGTGTTTTTCTGCAACGCAATGTCATACTAGGTTGCCTGGCGACGAAAATACATCATGTGAAGCCGTGTTGCTACCAATCAATATAAACAAAGCGTACCGAACTGTGCTGCATACCAAAGCTGCAAGTGATATGAGTGATAGCATTCCTAAAACAAAGCTAATCAACGCTCGACGTGAACGTAGATTACGTCGCCAGAAAGATGTGCTACCTGACGAAGGTTCGAAAAACGAAGCACCCGATATAAAACACTTCGAAATGAATCGGTTTTTAGACGACGTTGAACGTGAAATGTGCGTTCTACAAGAAACATTTTCAGCGTTTACGCAAAAAGTGTTGGTGCCGCTGCAAATGTTTTGTAAGCAAGGCAATATATCTCTACTCCCCGTCAGTAAAAAAGATAGCACGAACAATAATGACCAATCTGAAGCTGACGAAGCCCAGATTCCTAAGCCGAGCCTGGATCGCACAGAATTCAGAATTGTGCAAACGATGAACCAAATACGACAGTTACTATGGCCGACTGATAACGAAGGTCCGCCTGCAGGTTTATATTCGGAAGAGCATTTCTCGAAAAAGGTAAAATAAGTTTAAATTCACCAGCAACAAACAATAAACAAAATTTTACTTTGCTTCTGCTGTTTTTCAGCAAAGTGGTAAACGCGTAATGAACTCTTGGCGTACATATTGAACCCATAAGTCGAGTATGTGCCGGAGATGAAGACTGCTTCTTACATCTTTGTTTAAACTTGGCACAGAACTATCACCATAAAATATAAATTCGACAAAACCATGTTATATTGTGAGGACATCTCGCCGTTTTGATAAAGATGTTTGCAAAAGACTATTGGCCTAAAAATGGGGCGTTGGCTAAATAAATAAATACACCCTAATTCTTCCTCCTAACCTATCTGACAGGAAAAATGATCGCTCTCCTTGTTGTATACTATATAATACTGTGTACTATGCTAATATTGTGTTATTTTTAAACGATTTTATCAGCCGCGACTATCTTACGCTGATTTTGTTGCATATCAGCAATATAATATATATAATAAATAATAATATAACTTCGCTATGGAATATGACGCAAATTATATTTTGTTGAGGTGTTAGTTAGTGATTTCTATTTCAAAATACAGTTATTTGGTTTTTCCTATCCTTCAAATGTGAAATTTGTTAGATACGGGTTTCGTCTCCTTTTATTCAAATTTGTATTTTACATATGTCCTCAACTGAAGTAGCCTGATTTATTGATATTATATTTTGTTCTTCTTTGAGTAGATTTTTTTATCTAATTATGCTATTAACGTTTCCATACCTTTCCTTTTTGATGCTAAATTCTTATTTAAATTTTTCAGGTTGCGTCTGAAGTAGACTGTGAAAAATATCCTGTGGTTCGGCTCGTTCCCGATATTTTACAAAAGTTCAATGAAGTCATCACTCTTGCATCTATGTGGTTAAAAAGAGATGCCATGTATGTACAAAGCGCTAAATCAGCGTTGCAAAGAGCTCATCGACGTTTTTTAAAAACGGAAAGACTTTGGAGACAGGTAGTTCGATATATTCTAGCTTGTTTCTGTAGCTAGACCACGCAAAATTTGACCGAAGAGTTGCATTTTTAAAACTAACATCTATGATTCAAACAAATTCAGCATGTTGCCAATTTGAACGCATACGAACGAAATAAAGGTACAAATGTGGAAAGGTTCACTCCTTAAATCTATACTTTTCGTAAAAGGCGCAGAGCAGCAGTTGACGCACAGTTTCCAATTTACTTAATTCATGAATAATATCTAAAATACTATTGAACAGAACTGCACTAAATCCCGAAAGTTATAAAACTATATCACGTGATATGTAATGTTATAGAATTATTTTTAATATCGATGTTGTTCAATCAAAAATTCATAATGTGTTATCAAGTTTGATATAGTTTTTTTCATGGATCGATGAAAAATTTACAACATAAATTCGACCATTTTTCATACATTTTATGGTAGGGCCAAACGTGGGAAAATTAAGGCGCTATTTATATTGAATTCTGTTTTATATATCGAAAATATTGATTGTCTCGCAAACAACTTTGCCCAACATTACCTATGCAAACAATTTCAAGTTGATAACGCTGACTTGGCTGTTATTTTTGTACGTTCGCGCCACGCCTATAAACCTAGGAAATTGCTTTTTGAATATTAGTATAGTGATCGTTTTAATATTATAATATCGGTTGATCACTTATCAACTTCAACATAATTTCTGGTCGAACGACTTCTGTTTTTATAACGAAATATAATGTGTGTTTTACAGGCCAGAGATTCCCAACGTCATTTACGAACTGAATGGGAAAATTTATTCGGTGAATTACAAAATCATACAGTGCGATTACATTCTGTTGAAGACGACGTTAAAATTTTAAAAGAGGTTCGTCCAATTCTATTTCTTAGAGAAAAAAAAAAATTCAGTCTAGATCAGGAACATTCACTCAGAAGTGAAAAAAACAGTCTTCACAAAAGCGAACAGATGCCTGAACGAACACGGTGATGTCGTGAATTGCTGAGTACGCTATATATTATAATTAGGAGGATTATTACGACTCTGGATTTTATGAGGTGTCGCACATTCTCTAAGCAAGTCTCCACACAAGCACAAACTTATATACCTAGAGCAGGGATGGGCAAGGTTTAAGGACCAGGGGCCAAATTTTTCTCATCCAAACTGGCGGGCCATGTAAGTGTGACGTAAAAGTTACATATTATGAACACTATTTACAGTGCTACAGAAGCAATAGTGGGAAACAATAGGACTCGTGCCAAAACTAAATTTAATAGTAATCTCAACGAATTCCTTGAGCTATTTTTCAGCTGAAACATTAAAATTTGGTTTTAGTTTGGTTGTGGCAACATCAGGCGGGCCAAATTGAATTACCAAACGGGCCGGATTTGGCACGCGGGTCGCAGTTTGCCCATGTCAGACCTACAGGCTATTATATATAATTTGGAGAATCGGATTTATTACATTTTGGGCGATACGTGCGAACCTTATTTTAATTATGTTTTTAACTAGGTAATAAAGTTTATATTAATGTCTTGTTTCACTTTCTTATAAAGGAAATGAACAAATACAGAGGAGTTAAGAAACTTCTGGAAAACAAAATAAAAACTACAGATGAAAACATCGACCAGCTCAGAGCAAAACACAGAGCATTACGAAAAAGAGTTATTGTATTGTCAACTAAAATAGAAGCAAGAGAAAGAAGGTATATAATATTTAATTAATATCCATTATTATTAGGGCCATCCCTGTTTGGTATATTACTAAATTTTCAATTGTGTTGTTCTAGCGTTAGCCATGCCCATGTGTCCATTGAGTTGAATTCGCTTCTAATAAAATAGCCTGTTGCGCAAGGGAATTTGTTTTCCGCGTCAGAGGTTTTTGATAAGGCACGTAATTTTGTCCTCGTTAGGATTAATCGCCACTTCATCTATTGTTTGCCATGTATTTTGTATCCGTGTATTGTCACGCCCAGTAAATTGATTTATAAAGCCGATTAGACGTGGCGTCATCGGAACGGTGTAAGAAATTGTTATGAAAAATGCTTTTATATTTGTTCTGCAATGCACACGCTAAATGTTGTTGTACTTAACGAGTTACGTGCAGTGCTTTTTAATGCTCAGTTATATTTTCCTGAAAATCTTTAAATTATGCAAGTGAAAAGACGCATAAATTTCTGAAGAAAACTGCTATTCAAATTTCTTGTCACACCGACTTTAAACGAATTCAGTCAGAAATTTGCAGCTGCTTTTTTTCTGACTACTCTTTCCAAATTTGCTTAAAGTGCTCAATTTGGAAGTGCTGGCGATATTCGAAGTCCATTTTCCAAGTGTTCGTCTGTCAGAACTAATCGATAAACAGATTCCATGACGTCCATTTTAGAAAAAAAAAACATTGTTTACGCAAATATGTTGCAATGCAAAGGGATTGGAATTGCTCGCAGGAACCAGATTAAACTAAATTAAAAACTCGTTTAAAACTCCATTCAAAATTGGCACTTCACCGCGGGCGGACAATTTTTCTTGTGGCCCGCAGATTGCATAATCCTGGCCTAGAGTCCTAGACGATCCTTGAATTTTTCTATCACCGCCATATCGTGGTTGCAAGATCACAAACAAAAATATTTCGTTTACAGTCTTTTCATTCTTTCAATTTTATAATTTGGTCTTAATTTTTTTATTTAAGCCATGGGTTTCTTGAATCTCGGGTATTATCCTTGAAAGCAGATCAAGAGGCGATGAGTGAAAAACTACGTATAAGTGAAGAATATACAAGTAATTTACAAATGAAAATGGAAGAACTTTATGGAGTGAGGGATGCATGGAGTAGAAGGTACTAAATTAAGGAAAAGTCATAATACCAATACTAGCATTTATTGATCTCATTCAAAGAATGGTTTTATTTCAACATTTCCCTAAGGTCCAAATATAGGAGTCCAATTTCATTGATTTTTCTGCCTACGATTTTGTTGATGCCGTATCGACATCTTAAACATCGTGGTTAGCTAACAACACTTTTTTCTCATTCCGTGGATATGACTTGAATTTGTGAGTAATTTCTTCCCCATCACTAAAACTGAAGTTAATAGCCAATAACATGGTATTGGTAGTATATATAGCGATTAGTTTTGTTTTTGAGTTGTGATCAGAATACTTATCAAGTGTCACGAGTACCTTATTTTGAGTTTCAAGCAAGTGTAATTCTTCAAAAAATGATTTCAATTCGTATTTCAAATCAAGATTTTATTTTCGCTCACTTCTGTGCTCTGTGTGCCTAATCCTCCTTTTAATAATATTTGTCTTCTTATAGCTAAAAATAATACGACCTCCATTTCAGATATGAAGATAAAACAGATCCAGACAAATTACGATCAAGGTTACAGCAAGCAAGATTGAGAATGCCTCTGCCATGTCTTCGTGAAAAAACTTTCATTTTGAGAACGAGGATGGAAAGTAAGTTAGGTTTCCTTTCTCGCTTATTGGGTTGAAAAAGTTTTTCCAAGTATTTTATTAACTTATGATTTGGGATGAAAGTTGAAAAATTTGTTTATTTTATGTTGTTTTTTCTAGAAAAAACTTGAAATTATTAACAATTCCATCCATACTTATTTTAGACCTCCGCGATGCTTTAGACATTGTCGAACAACGGTTAAGCGACAGAGACATCTCATGGTCAACTTTGTGTGACGAGTTACCGTGGCCCGGTAATGAAAAATCACCAAAATTAGTTCGTCTTCCTGCTATACACTCACAAAGAATGAAGAGAAGCGACGGAGAAGACTCAGGAGGTCACTCGTCGTCTTCTCCGACCGATTCTGACGACAGTTCTGGCTACAGAAAAGCGTTTTCGTGGCGTCGAGCAGTTGCCGCCTCGAAAATTAAGGAACGTGTCATGTCGACTCATCCTCACGACGAAAGTCAACAATGTTCGCTTATGTTGCATTTGTGGATGGAACAAAACGGCAAAGATGCAACGTTGGAAAAACTGACGCAAGCATTGAGAGCGTCAAATATAAATTCACTGGCAGACAGCGTTGAACGACACGTAACGTAGCGCGTAAATCTTATATTTGTTACTTTCCCATTTTATTATATGCAATATATTCTTCCAAATTTAGCTTAAAGTGTACTGTTGTCCATGGCGTCTTCCAATATCTTATAAGAAAAATCCCTTATTGACATTTCTGTAACTAGTCTCCTAAATTTATAGGGCTCCTACAATAACCTACTTTTAACTTACGTTCTGCTGTATTTGGGTTTTAATAGGGTATAAAAGTGATTTGGTTGACGAGATATTGGTACTGTTAAAATAACACATAATAGTGACTTCATGTCCTCCCAACGTTTCAGCCTGATACAATCTATTCTAAATCATATTGATTCACTCATATTTTTGTCGAAGACACCGACTCCATGCAACCTACTAATTAAATTTGAGCTCAATTCATGTGTCGCAGCCATTTCAATTAGCGATTATGTTAGCAAAGTATTCGAATATCGAATATTTTAAGTATATCAATCATTTTTGTAGTGATTAGAAATTTTCTGTGCAATTTTGAAATCCATTTTATTCAATCATTTTTTATCAATATCTAATCATCGAATTTACAAGCCATTGACACTGACATTAAAACATACTTGCCCACTGATTTCAATCATAAATGCAAGACAAGTCTTATATCCCGCGATAAGGGCTTACGACTACATTTATAAAATATACCAGTATGCAATACTAAAAATATTTCAAGTGTTTTTAGTAGTTTCACTCAACCCAAACAAGACAAAGTGTATATTCACAAATCCGATCAATCAAGCCGAGAAAATTATGTTCATGTACGCAAAGGCGAGTTTGGATTGTAAAGAACAAAAAAAAAGATTAATGGCTACATCGCACGTCCTTGGTGCATTCTAGGTCTAAATTATTTTGTGTTATAAATTCATGCTGTGTTTTCATTCAAATTTCGCCCTATTTTTTCACAATATAACGAATCATATTTGCTTGCTCTAATAACTATATTGTGACATCACCGTGTTTTATTCATAAAATGCACGTTATAGTAATTGTTATATTATTTACTGAGCAACCATTTTTCTTCTCATATTTTGAAAATTATAGTTTGATGTGTGACATTGTTTTCGTTTGTTTCAATTTCAATATTTCATTCATTCATGTTGTGTGAACAACAGAACAATAGAAAAATGCGATTCGGAAGAAAAACGCATATTAGTTTAGTGGAGCCAAGATGGAGTGGAGCTGTCATATTTGAAAAAAGTCAACGCGCAGCTGTAGATAATCTAATCTAAACGTTTTTCGATGTACTATTAGCAAGATCGTATGCGCCATGGCACGATTGAATTAACACGTGATCGCTGGTATAAATATTTGGACTTCAGACATTGCATGTAGGCTATGCTGTTTTGACGGGAATGTAAGTTGCGTCACTCATGTTAGTGCCTTGTTTGGTCAGATATAGGATGCTAGTAAAAGGAAACTAATAGTAAATTTATATGGACTTATTTTCCGAGCTATATTTGTTTTCAACATTTCCATGTCTGCGGGTTGCAATTTTCATTGCACTGCGTTTGGGATCATCTCTCATTGTTTCTATATATTTATACATATATATGGAAATAAGGATATATACAGTGATGAGCTGGAAAAATCGTAATAACCGGAACGCACCTAATTCGTGTATGCAATATATACAGGGAGTCCTCGACTTACGACGCAGTTCCGTTCCTGAGACTCGGTGTAACCCGAATTTCAGTGTAAGTCGGAACATTATACTGTACAGTGGTACAGTACAGGAATTGCTCTATAGTATAGAGTCTACACACATCGTACTGTATTGTAAAGTATGGTACTGTACACTAATAATAAATGAACAAATAATGCAAATAAGAACTAGAAAAACAGAAAACAATTCCACATCACGAGAATAAAAGCAAACTGTACAGTATCTTAACATATTTTTTTGCTTTGAGTCCATAACAAAGGGCAAAAGTAAAAAAAAAACGATCAAACAAGTTACGAAAAAACGGCTTAAACAACCAAAATGACGTACAGTATCACTGGAACTGTGTACAGTACTGTATCATGTGACTGAAGCTTAGTGATTATTCGTTCATAATCGTAATAGTTCGCAATTGGTCACGTCATTTACGATGTAAATTACGAAAACCAATGAGCCCAGAGCACTGATTTTCTTGATCACAATGATCCAGTTTATAGACTTAGATATTACAGTACAGTATTATCTTTTATATCTGTATATGTTCGTAAAGTGCGTTCGTAACCTCGAAACAGCGTTGTGGAGTGCGCGTTTGTAACCTCGAAACATCGTAAGTCGCGACCGTCGTAACCCGAGGACTCCCTGTATTTACAACACGACGCGGACGCTGCAAGAAATTTTTGTCTGTTTCAAGATAGAGCCGAGGAACTACAATAAAATATGAATTCATTATCTGAAAAATATGTCTGTTTACAATTACAAGAATATTCATACCAATTCAGAACAAATGGTAATATTTAAATGTAACAGAACAAATTTTCACGGGGTCAAAGGTCGGCAAAAATCCACTGCATGTTACTGCTGTACTTACTAGTTGTTTGCCGCAATGTAAAAATAATTATTACGTAACAAAACGTAAGTTAATAACTAAGTTTGCCAGAGAAAGTAAACTTTCCATGACATAATTTTATTTCAACAACAGGAACGCAAATGCAATAAAATTTCCAACAACTGGAACGCCGTTCCGGCTACAGCTCATCACTGGATATATGTGCGTGTGTGTGTGTTATATCAAAAAATACTAATCGGTTTCGAATTTCAGCTAATCAGAATTGAAAAACTCAAAATAAATTACTATTTTGAATATATTCTCGATCAAACGGCGAATAATCAACGAAAGTTACCCAAACATTTGTTGTATTGATTGACATTCAAAATAGGTTTTGTCTGCATTCAAACGAAATAATCACACAAGCGAACGAGTTATTGGAATTGGAACGGAACAACGATATGTTACAGCTGAGGTTTAGAAATCATCGCTATACTAATATTAATTAACGTCCGAACCACAATGCGATACACAAGTTACTGTTCGTGCGTATAACAAACTGTGAAACAGGTTCTACCCCTTTGTAAATTGCATTTGTCGAAGACCGTATTCTGGTCTTAGAAAAACAATTGATTTATTTTTTTTAGAAATGATGACGATACAAACAATCAGACGCAATAAATCGTATTTTTGATGTTGCTTTTTCATTCTGTTACCACAACCGTAGTTGAATAATAAAACGGCTCACTTAATATCAGAACTAAGTGCCCGTAGTTATACACGGGTTTACCCGTAAATATATAGGTTTACCACAACAAAACAATCAAATACAGAGTCCCCGACTTACGACGCAGTTCCGTTCCTGAGACTAGGTGTAACCCGAATTTCAGTGTAAGTCGGAACATTATACTGTACAGTGGTACAGTGCATGAATTACTCTATACACACCGCACTGTATTGTAAAGTATGGTACTGTACACTAATAAAATGTACAAAAAATGTAAATAAGAACTTTATTAGAAAAACAAAAAGCAATTCCACATCACGCGAATAAAAGCAAACACTGTACATTATCATAACATCTTTTTTTTTGCTTTGAGTCCATAACAAAGGGCGAAAGTAAAAATCGATCAAACAAGTTACGAAAAAACCGGCTTAAACAACCAAAATGACGTACAGTATCACAGTAACTGTGTACAGTACTGTATCACTGGAACACCACTGTGAATCCAGCAGAATTTCAGCAGAAAAATATTCTGCAGTTTTCAACCGATTCCCACGCGGAATATAACAACTTTTAATAATATTAATTACCAAGAAACGGATCCTACTCAGAAAAAAACACATCGGAGAAAAAGATACGTTTGAGCACATTAAGCTGGTACTGGTAATTATAAAATACATAAATAAGATTCACATGACGGAGAATCACATAAAAAAAGAATATGTTAGCACGAAAAACAAAACAAAATCTAATATCACATAAGGGAACACCAAAAATATCGGTAGGTTTTTTGGCAATGTTACTAATGCTAACTGTAATGTATGAGCCCAAATTCGAATATAATCCGCAAAATGCCGACAACTTATAAGAGTAATTCTGAATGATATAGATAGTCACAAGTACGTATTATATATGATATGGGGTAAGGAACAAAGCGAGTCTTCATGAAGTATAGGATATCGAAACAAATATCGGCAGTCAAAAATTAAAAATTGATGAAAATCAGATTTCGTCATATTTGATGCGTCATCGATTGTTCGACGCCATATTCGAATATGTTATTTTATTTTTCGACAACTTTTGACAATGATTTCGTTTTTAAGTATAACTGAAGTGTCCAACAACAAAGTATGATCACCAGCAGATTGAAATTGAAAAATATATGGGCCTTCAAAAATTGATGAAAATCGTATTTTGTCGTAGTTTGTGCGACTTCGATTGTTCGGCGCCAAATTCGAATATGTTATTTTATTTTCCGACAACTTTTGACAATGATTTCGTTTTTATGTATAGTTGAAGTGTCCAGCAGCAAAGTATGATCACCAGCAGAATGAAAATTAAAAAAATAGGGGCTTTCAAAAATTGATAAAATATTTTTTAATATTTGGTGCGAAAACGATGATTGGATGCCGAATTCGAAAATGGCCTGCAGAGTGCCAACAACTTTCAAATATAAATAAGAATAATACACATTATATAACCATATCACACATATATAATCTTATCCGGGGTCAAAGCAAGATTTTATGAAATCGATTTTCAAATATACTATAGGGCAACAAAGATTCGACCCTATCTGCGTGTCCACACTCCCGTGTTATTGAACACACGTTAACAGAGTGTAACTCCGATCTTGACTCCTTCAGAGGTCAAAAAGCACACAATGTATTGAATGCCAATTGTTATATTGTAAAGTTGCACAATCGAATTGATCCAAATAACGAATTACACTTGAAACCTTAAAGCAAGTATATGTGATGAAACCAAATTTCTAACTAACAAAGAACGGCAAAGACAAGCTACACTGAGTGAGAGAAATATATCATAAAGGAAATGAATTGGGACAACGACCTTGTTTCAGGCAAATAACATGCACTACTAACAATAAGTGGTGAAAATATTGAAATACACAGTAACTATCCTTATGTACTTGCTACACAATTCCCCCCGACAATGAAAAAAATTAGTTTGCTAATTTTTAAATTTTGTAAGACTAGCTAATAACGATTTCTGATTAAATAATATGTCGTAAAATTTGCCATGTATCGGTGTATTTAATTCTGCATCAAAGTCGCTGATGACCAACTAATGCAACGACATAGGAAAACCAATTTGATTGAGATACCTCCGGTTGAAGGATCTTTTGCGGTGAAATCTACAGATTTTCACGAAATCTTCGATAACACCCAGAACTAAGCCATTGCGTTTGGACAATCGACTTCTTTCTGCTTTGTAAAATAATGAGCGTAATAGTTGATTTGAAGAATAATGTTGACGTTAAGATTTCGTTCGTTGAAAACATTCCTCTAAGCTTTGAAAACCTGTCCAACTCTCGGATTTTTCAATCTGGGAAGATTGTCCGATGAATTGAAATGTAACAAGAGTGTGGTAGCGTTGAATTTCGGAAAGTTGCGAGCTCTACAAGCTTTCGTATCATCAACGTTCCAGACGAATGTAAACGCACCTTTCCGGCAAAACCCGGAATTGGGTGAGCATTGGCTTAAATCAGCTAGGGGAGAGTGAAGTTTTCGTGTCATGTGATTGAAGTAGAGAGGACCCTTCCACGCGGGCCACTAGTATTTGGGTTCGACTTGGTTTCCAATGATGCTGAAATAGATGATGATCGACTTGAGAGAATAAAGTAGATGTTCGTTCGTACGTTCGTCAAACAGTAGGTCGCTAAATGCTGCTTCTTGGTGTAAAAAAATCGGCTTGCGTAGATAATATCAATGTTTTTTTTTCTACGTAGCTTGCTTTGTCGATAAACACATTTCAAAATCCAGTAATAATACGAAGTTGTCCTGCTAACTTTAGATTGTAATGAGGCGGATTGATCTGCTGAAGTCCA